CATTTAAACAATCGCGGCTCAAGCCTCAAAAATGGCATGCAATCGTTAACAGGGCATTCCTTTTATACCTAGTATTGAAACCGTGCATAGCTAGCCCCAAGGTTTAATCTCCTTTATTGATTCACCATCATGTGTCTCGTTAAGCCAATTTCAAAGAAACCTGTTGCGTAAATACTACTGGACAAAAGGAACTCGTGTGACAGCAAATCCTGTTATTTATACATGAATACACTTTTTATTGGTTAAACTCAGCAAAAACATAATACTGTAAACGACGTATTATTGTATTTTCGGAGGTGGCCGATGTTGGTAGTGAGGTGGTTGTCCGAGAGGTGCTGTCGGGTACCGGCGCAGGTCTGCATAAATGGCCTTGAATGCCGTTGGTGGCGATGTCTTGCCTTGTCAATGTCGGGAAAGGAGCGGCAGCCGCTGCTGCAACCGTCGTCGTGGCCGGGGAGTAGACGTCGGGCTCATCCCTCAAAGGGTGACCCGGTAGCGGCGGGGGCCCGCGTCCTCGCGGGCCCCGCCGAGGGCGAGGAAGGACACCGGTGACTGTCGACTTATTTATTCCAAATCCGAGGGTCAACTGTTCCAAAGCGACACTAGCATGAGCTGAGCACGCGACGCTGCGTGTGGGGCACGCGCTTCTCTGGTTCAGAATTCAAGCCGTACGACCGCTCAACTCAGAATACTACATTCTCCCTTTCTTAATAATTTTTTTTACACAAACATAATGGGAGAATAAAAAGCCAAACAAAGAACACAAAGCACTATGAAGCAAGCCCCCATTCTCCCTTTCTTAATTTTCAAGCATTTGCTAGAGGGAAGGATACGTACTACAAAAACACACTCTCGAGTTTCGAAATGAAGACCCAAAAATAAAAAAAAGAAGAATCAAGTCCGGTGACAAGTCAGTATCATTTCGATAGGTTCAGTCAAATTCGGAGAAAACGCCGACTCATGCATGTGTGTGAAAAGTTCGTTGAAAATCGTCAGGCGTTATTGTTCTCAAAACTTCGGTACTTTGACAGTCGAAATCAGAACTCCTTTCAAAAATTAAGCCTATTCCTGGCACCACTCGTCTTGAACGCAAAAGGTGCTAATTCGTGCGCATACGGCAGTGCCAAGGAACGTAGCTGCTCACCAGCAAAAGCGAAGCACACCGCAAGGTGATTTGTCCGAAATCTCTTGGCGCGTGCGGGCGTTCTCTTTCTCTAAGTTGTGTCGTGAAAGTCATATGCAGCAGAATACCCAGGCTTTGCAGGGAAACCAGGCGCTGCAGGAACATGAGATGCAGCAGAAAACCGGGCCTCACGTGAAAACCAGGCGCTGCACTCTTTCATCTCGGCGAAGTGTCAATAAAGACGGGTGGCCATCTTTCAAACAGTCATGTCGGGAGGCAGGAGCTTGCGGCCATCTTGGGCTCTGACTTGGATCGGCGTCGGAGCATCACGACAATAAAAAAAAAACAGCTTGAGCGTAACTACGCTACACTTCTGAATCCTCCGGACCTCAGCCTGAACGTAAAACACAAAAACAAACTCAATTTGAAGAAAGACCACGTCATCGCAGGGCGGACGGGATAAAAAAAAATTGCTGCCTCTGAAGGCCAGCTGCTCGGCCAGGGCTTATTTCTCGCCTGGAACAATGTTCACGTCATCGCAGGGCGGACGGAACCGAACACAAAATGCTGTCTCGCAAGACCAGCTAACTCTCTCAGGGCTTATTTCTTGCCTGGAACATTGATTCTGGAACGCGCTGCGTCCAAAAAAAACAAAAAAACAAAAAAAAGAACAGTAAAGCTACAAAAAAAATTAACTCGGCGTTCGAAACGTTAGGCGTACAGGAGTTCCGAGACGCTCTGGTTCGGAGAAACGAGTACTACCTGGCTCGAAGTAGGCCGCACGAAAAGAAACAGACAAAAGTAGAAAAACCTAACGCTAGCTCGACTGGCCCGAAATAGTGATAACGAAACGCCGCAAGGCTGCGAAGAAAAAAACGTCCAAGATGCGCCGGTTCATGCCAACTATGCGACCGGGACGCAGGGCTTGCCTTGAAATTGTCGTTGCCCTTTTCGAATCCCATCCTCGTCGCCATATTGTATTTTCGGAGGTGGCCGATGTTGGTAGTGAGGTGGTTGTCCGAGAGGTGCTGTCGGGTACCGGCGCAGGTCTGCATAAATGGCCTTGAATGCCGTTGGTGGCGATGTCTTGCCTTGTCAATGTCGGGAAAGGAGCGGCAGCCGCTGCTGCAACCGTCGTCGTGGCCGGGGAGTAGACGTCGGGCTCATCCCTCAAAGGGTGACCCGGTAGCGGCGGGGGCCCGCGTCCTCGCGGGCCCCGCCGAGGGCGAGGAAGGACACCGGTGACTGTCGACTTATTTATTCCAAATCCGAGGGTCAACTGTTCCAAAGCGACACTAGCATGAGCTGAGCACGCGACGCTGCGTGTGGGGCACGCGCTTCTCTGGTTCAGAATTCAAGCCGTACGACCGCTCAACTCAGAATACTACACGTATTTTTCGCAGGCTCAATATTTCGCGATTTAGGTCGAAGCTGAAGTTTCAAAATAATTCGCGGGTTCTAATTTTCGCGACGCGGGGGGATCTCGCTATAGGTTCCAATGTGTTTATATTTTACCGGAATTGTTCGCGGGACCTATTTTTCGTCGGCACGGCACCACCACAGAGACGATAGGAGACGACGTCTCGGAGAAGAACCTCCGGTTCCTCGAAGCTGACGACGCGTCCTCCTTCAGCCACAAAGATGAACAGTGTATACAACACCAGGCATGCTGTCTCGTGAACAAGTCACTACTCTCTCGGATAAAACTTCATTGTCACACATTTTAAGTTTACAATACACGAAACCACTGAGGCTCGGAGCTCGTTGACGGCTCCAGTACTCGGAGGGGACACGCAGCGTGGAGTATTCCTCGGGCATACAGGCTTCATAAAACGCCCCGGTATTGGCTGCAGCCGGTGTGGTGCTGGCAGTGCCGCTGCAGGCAGTTGGAGAGGCAGTGTGTGGCCTTTTTTATTACCGTCAACTGAGGAAGCATCGGCGTTTTTTCGCTTTCTCGTGGGCCTTGGCTGCGACGCTTTCTTTGATCAGTAGCTCGGAGCATTCAGAACCTTTGTCGGTACAACGCCCGGCAAGAGCTGCGTCTTTCCACGCGGAATGCGCACCTCTTCATCGTTTATAATGTGAACGAAGTCTCGCGTAATAAACGATCGGTCGAAATGAAGCTCACACACCGAACACGTTTCGTCCAGGAGCTTATCCTGGAGATGCAAGTTCCGTTCCCAAACTTTCCCTTGCTCTTCCTCCTAAGGCACTGAGAACAGCTACGGCTGCTCACCTTTCCGCCAGCTGATAGCCCCTCTGGCACCCCGGAGCGAAGCAGTGGCGTTGTCGACGTCGATTCGGCATGGCACTTCAATGACCATAAACGACAGCAAACACGGGTAACACGGGATAAAAAGCGGTTCAGAATGGGGGCCACTTCGAGCTGCCAAAAATGCAAGCCAACTCTTCTCACCCAGGGCCTTCGGAACGCTCGGAAGCGGTCGGATCCTACAGCCACTACGTCCGCAGCGCCACCGCGTACATCCGGGACCTTTCCACACGCGCCGTTTCACAGCAATGCATGGCGCGCCTCGGCGCCTGATCTCACTACCCCTCCTCTAGTTCACTTTAGCTGGGGCGACTCCAACTCAATGTATAAGAAGTGGAGAACAGCTAAATGTCTTTCTGCCCCAGCACTCATGCAATATCACCCTCAACTTATTTAGCTGGGGGAGCAGCCGGGAGTTCACGCGCATGCGCTCATGCCTCTCGCTCTACGCCGCGTGCTGATTGGCTCACTTGGGAGGAGAGCGTTACGGCGGCGAGATCATAGACTGACCAAACTCTCCCCATATGGGGTACAGTAGCTTGGGCTTGCAGCGGCTCCACCGCTCCAAGCCCAAGCGCAACATACAAATACCAAAAAGAAATAGGCAGGCGCGCACAAAGGAATTTTTTCCCTTGTATTTTTATGATTACAACTTGCGTTGTTTTAGACAACAAAACAAAATACAACGCTTGGGGTGTCAGTGTTCCTATAAGGTCTAGCCACCATCCTTCAATCAGAGCCCGGCGTTCTGATTATGGTGCCTGGACGCGCTCCAGGCACCATAGTTCTGATGTCACCACAACCCCTGCAAAAAAGCAGACGAATTTGCCCTGTTGATTTTCCCCAATGCTGGCAAACTACTACCTATCACTATTTTCGTCGACTGTTGAAACTTGATTTTTTCATGCCCACTTATGAACTCTTTTCACGGTGGTACTTTGGACTCCTAACTTAGAAATATACGACAGATGCCTTCACTTAAACTTTGAAGAAATTTTAGAATTGGGCTTTACCGCAGCTTTTATCCTTTCCTAAGGAATAAGTAGGGTGTTAGATATGCCAAGGCTCGATCAAAAAATATGATGCGTCTGCATTTTGACATTACCAATGGCAGACAGAGGTAGAACTCAAATCATGAAAAGCACTGCCGTTGCCTCCTGCACAGCATGTGTCGTAGCATGCGACTTGTACACAACGTCGGTCCGCCTTTTTGTCGCGCGATGTCAATGTGGTGACTTATAAGCTCATATGCATCATGCACTTGAGGGCATCATGGGAAGCATTGGAATACTCGCCTTCGGCACATGCCAGACAGCTCATGACAAAATGATGGATGAAATTATGTCACGAATACTTGGTGTACACGTCATTATCAAAGTTACTGGCACAAGCACGTGGCTTCACCTTTTCTCCCCTTTGTGCAAGAGCATGTGCCAATGAACTGCGAGATTAAGCCACAGGCTAGCGCCAGCAGTTGTGATGACAAACTGAGAACCTATGTGTTGAGCAAGGTCACGTTTTACACAATTTACACTGCATTCTCCACCTCCCTAATCTCCGATGGTATCGGCAGCGGTATACCCAATGAACACAAAATAAACTCTATTTTAAAATGGATATGATGCATGTTTATTGTTACGCAATGTAACGGTACAATGGTGGGTGACATACATTTTTTTTTCATGCCGGTGATACACATCGCTAATGCTAAGAGCAGACGCGTCTGAATACAAAATCCTCTTCTTTTTGGCCATGACAATGAGCACGCAACGAATGGAGGCGGTGGGCCTCCACCCACCGCTTACCCCACCAACCCCTTTTTATTAAGAAACATGATCACTGATATTTACAGTGAAAACGCGGCGTCACATTTAAAAACTTGCCAAAAGGGGGATACGTCCTTTGACATGCATGGAGTGATGATTGCCGCCTTGAGCCGTCGCGCAACATAAACATAAGCTGAGATATCGTAAAGCACTAAAATTGCAATGTGAATTTGAGCGAGCAATTCCCAGACGTCGTCCGTCGAAGAGAGCGTCGGGATGCAGACCATTTCCTCTTGTAAGGATTCCTCTGGGGTCAACGAACAAAAGGGTGATACTTTGCATGGAGGCTTTATACACACATAAAAACGCAAGATGTGAAAGTAAATAAGACTTAGCTATGTTAATGTCTCATCGTAGGGATAAAAAATGAAAAGAAAGATGACAGTGAGAGAATAAAATCGCTAAACTGATAATACAAAGAAACCATTTTGTGCAATCGATGTCGGATGATGGGATTCAAAACATTTGCACCATCGCTTAAAACGATTTCAGGTTTAACACACAATTCCAGACACCCGGATTATTTCATTCGCCGACCGCGTACGAACGTGACCGCGGGCCGATGTGGCAGGACGCTCGTCACTTTACGACGCTGCCACACTCCGCAGCGTTGCCTCAAACTGGACCCCAGCAATACGTCCGCGCGTCGACCGAGCACCGTCCGCTCTACAGAACCGATCCTTTGCCACGTCGTAATCGATGCCGACGACCAGCACCGATCCCGTCGTGGTGTCGGACGGGTGTCGGGGGTGCTCAGAAGACGTAGGGCAGCAACCGGTACTTGACCCGCTGGGTGTAGCGCAGCCACAGGTCTCCGTAGCGTTGCCGGCACTTGCCCTCCACCTCGAACACGCGCACAACCAGGAACAGTGCTTGGAGCAGAACGGCAGTGTACGGGAGGGCGTGGCTCACACCTGCACAAACCGCGCAATGTTGTGGCGAGTCGGCGAGTGCTTATCCGCAGCCTCTGCGGTCTCATCGACCCTCGAGGCCTCGATAAACGCCAAGCAGCAGATTACCACCTGCCAGGTTGGTATTTAGCCTTGTTTAAATGCAGAATCGCGTCGCTATAGAAGCAAACTCAAATTTTGCAGTGCACGTCCGTGCCACGGAGGGAGTTGGCCATTTGCTAAGAGCGTTCTAAACAACAAATAAAAAAAGATAAGTGAACAGAACAGGCAGGATCAAGGATGGCGAGGCACTTTGAAAAGACTTCACCAGCTGCAAAATACTCCACAAATGACGACCAGAAAACAAAAGAAACGGTACAAAAAGAGGATGTGGCAACGCCAAAAACGCACAGCTCCGCGTGCCAGTAAAACTGGACATCGACATTTGCTGCGCTACTCATAAAACATAACTCTGCGCGACGGTTTGATCGATAGATTCAAATACCAACTGCAAATTATAGCTTTAGCTTTGTATTACAGGGGTGGAAGCAAGCTTCAGCCTTCTGTAGCAGGCCTGGGAGCAGCAAAGACGCTCATTCAGAGCAGCTTTGGAGCAGTGAAAGCTCTGCTTTCTAGCAGCTCGGGTTTTGTAGCAGCATCACTAAATCTTGGAGCTGGTCACCCAGGTCAAACTTAGGGCAATAGGTGCAAGGGTGTTTTGCTAAACACAAAAATATCACAACAAAAGAGCATCTCCATGTAACCTTCCAGAACCATTTCCAAACAGACCCTTTCCTAAAATATAACCCAGCCCATTGCATAAAAAAGCAAACAGCGCAATTGGAATCTATCTGAATGGCAGCTATTGAGAACTGTCCTCGTAGTGGGTTGGTCCCTCTTATGGATTGCCAATGGAAGGCATAGTCAACAAGAGAAGCACAACTTAAGCCTCATGAAAACAAAACTTTGTGCCTATTTAGCGACCCAAATCACAAATTCCGTAAGTTGAAAACAAGACCATTCCGAGATGCAATAAAGCCCAATACCTACGATTACAGTTTTCTTCATTAGGGAAATACAAATGTTCACAGCCTCCGTTTAGCAACACATAAATGTATTCCAATACTCGTGTTAACAAAGTACAAATCTACTCTATCTGATAAAAGTACAAAAGCAAAACATTAAAAACTTCATGATATCGTTCTTACTACAACAAGCATGACTGAATGGAATAAAAAAAAGCTTGTTTAGGAATTTGTTAAGAAGAAAAGTTACTGACAAAACTAGCAAGTAAGACCTTAAAATGGAAGGTTCTCCACAGACAAGTAAATTGCATGGATGTGTTCTAGCACGACAGTGTAGAGAGTTTGTGTCGTTTGTCCTCACGCCGGATTGCTGTTTGTGTGCCGGTGCGTGTATGAGCCACGGTATAAATGTTTGAAGGTGTTCACAGATTTGTTTAGGGAAAGTTTACAGATGAGGCACTCAATCGTCGCTTTTATTGTTACGTTTACGACACGAATGAGGAGCGCGGAAGCGGTTTCAGCAAAAGCAAACACCCTAAACAAGCAAACCACAACAGAAAAAAATTAAGCCAAATGGTTTTCTCTTTTTTTGTAAAGTAGTTATTGCTTTTCCCAGAGATTAGATGATAGGTGAGCACATGCCAGAAGGCCTCCTAGGTACGTTTATATACCGTTAAGTTTTAAAAGATTGAAAGGAAGAGATATGGGGTAATGTTTGGGGATGCCACAGCAAAATTCGATTTAAAAATTGTTGATGAGCACCGGTGCGGTAAGTAGGGGAATTCACTATGAGGTCCCCCGTCATGGATGTGGCAGCAGAATGTGCGCAGTACACGCAAGAACTCGCTACAAACTCGGGTATCATGGTAAGTAATATCGCACGCACGAATTGCCAAAAAAAACCAACAAGAATTGCGGGAACGAGTTAGGAATTTGCACGTCAGGGGAACGGATACCGCAGGTCGCAAACGCTGCAGATTCGCATGTCACGGTGCGATGAGCACGAGAGAACCCGCGGTGAACACGCTTATCATACAGATACTGCAAATCGTGCGGTTTTTGCGATTCCTGTCGGATATCGTGATCGATATCTGGCGGGAATCAAGGGGACATTGACACCCCCCCCCAGGTGTCAATGTTCCGGAATTTATATGTTATGGATTTTCAGCCCAAAAAACAAGACGGGTCTCGGGGACGGGCGTTCGTACGAGACTTCACGGTATACGCGATGTGATGTGCGCGGTATTTCGAATATACGCCGCCATGCTCAAAACCTCTGTGCCAAAAAAAAAACAAAAAAACAGCGAGTCGATGCTTTAGCAAACTTCTGACAAAGTCACCTACGTATATCCCATTTTCGGAGATCAAACACCTACACACCATTCTTGGCCGAGCTGTAGGGGCACAAAGCAACGCGCCCCAAAAAGTGCTCCGAAGGCACTGGTTTGGGGAACAGAAATAAACGCGCGACTTTTATTGCGCGTTGTTCATATTCGTCCAAATGTGATATGCTTTTCCTCGCATTCCAAACAAACAACCACAACTCGTGCGGTTCTCCCTCGTGCTGCTGGCACTCGACAGCTCATCGACACGAGACCATGAAACTAAACGGAACGCTGCGCCTATTTACCTGGTCAGGAATAAATCATGATCACTCTTATAAAATGACAATAAGCACTTGCCGTGTGTTTCTATCAAACGAAAATCAACTGCATTGATAACCTTAAAAAAAAAGAAAAAACTTTTTTGGTTTGTTTTGACACAACATTTGTGCATAGGAGCAGGATGGCAGAGCGTAAGCGGATTGGCGCACAATGGTGGAATAGGCGCAGCGCTTCCACCCCTGGTATTCGCAACAAAACACCAGCCTTGCACATAAAGAATATACTGGCTCTGTTCAGGCAAGATCATGCACGCAAGTGCAGATATATTCTTTGTTTTGTGCTACTCCTCAACATCTCGTCCGTGGCATTGGGCAAAAATGCCGGCATGGGAAGTGCACTTTACAGCGCTGTAACTTTGAAGGAAACAAAACGATGCAACATGTTTTCTTTGTGAATAAACACAAGAGTATGGTAGACAACTATCACTATAAATTTTAAAATCAGAATTTTTTTTCTTCTTTAATTGCCCCTTGAAATTTCTTAACTTTGTACTTTAAAACAAATTTGGAGCGACATAAAAATTTAATTTTTTAGATAAAGCAATGATTTTTACATCATTCGAAATAATGTTCTAATAAGAATATGACATATACAGTTAAACCTGGATGTAACGAACCTGTATACAACGAAATCCTCTATTTAAAAAACTTTTTCAATTCCCCGACGCAATCTTCATAGAAGCACTTGTATTTGTGAACTCCATGTAACGAAGCGCTCGCACTGAATAACCTTGATCTTTTCCTGTGTCAGCTTTCCTCTCCCACCAAGTGACTCGCCTTGTGCCTTCTTCTTCTCGACAACGTTGCGCAAGGCAGCTCCCATCCGCTTGTGGACGTGGTTCACGCAGTCCTTCTTCTCTATCTTGATGAAGCCGTAAACCTTCGCTTCAGACAAAGCATGGAATGTCCGGCTGTCCCCATCCGAAAGGACGGTGGTGTAGCGGAGACCATGCTTGGTCAGAGACCTCTGGAACATTGTGAGCGCAGCCTCCACCTCCATACGGCCAGCATTGCAGTCAATGTTCCTGTGGCAGTCGTGGGTTGCGTACCAGTCGCTGTAGCCATCGTCCTCGGGCTCCGGTCCCAAGGCACATCCAAGGCAGAAGTTGGAGTACACAACATGGTCGATGACGAGGCCAGAGTACAACTCCACAATGCAGCCTACACCAATGTGGGAGCTGCGTCCTCGGGTCATCCATGATCCGTCGAAGATGACATCGATGTTGCCAATGGGGTTCATAAAGCCTGTGTAGAGCCCCTTGACGACAGCAACACTGGCGGCTTCACTGTCGGTTGCTGCATTCTCACATGCCCGCACAAGCGTTTTCAGGTGTCCCTGGTACGTCTTGTGGTGCAGGCCCCGATGAGAAATGTTCATGGAGGCACAGAAGTCTGCCAAGGCTGTCACTCCTTTGCCAATGGATTGGATCCCCTTCATGGCCCTCATGTTCACTTCAAAGGGAGTGATCTTTGCTGTTCCAGCAACCCTGGGAGAGGAGAACTGCTTCTTCTGGAAGTCGCAAGTGCTGCAGACGAGCACAAGCTTGACGGCCAAGCCGTACTCCTTGTCCGCGGCCTTGCTGAGCGTGAGAGATCCCACACCGCAGCTTCCACACCTCGCGTGCGCGAAGAGGTCGTTGAGGACTTTCATGTCGACGATGACAAACTGGGTCCCGGCATCGCTTGTTTGGCATGATCCGTTGACTTCAAGCAGATCGAACTTCCGCTGGGTCGCCGACTTCTCCGATAAAACGCGCTTGCTGAGCTCCGATCGCTCGGCGCGCTGCGCTTGCTCGGCCGTAGAGTAGTAGGTAGAGTCGACGCGAGTGGTGCCGGCAAAACTTGAGCCATCCGGACCAGAGCTTGAGGCCGCAGCATCGTCAACGGGAAGGCTAGCCGATGGTCCCGGCAGATCCAATGCGTTCGGCAGTGGCGCAGATCGTAGCGGCGCACTTGCAGGTGATGTCTTCCGCTTGTTCCACGCACGTCGCGTCTTCCTCCCGAACGTCCGCCGCGTACTCTCTTTCAATCGAGAGTCCCCCGGCATCTCGATCGCTCGAAATAAAACTCCCGCAACTTCGTAGCGAGAAACCAACGATGTCCGACGCGAACGCGCGAACGTAAACGATTTCGAAACAACGTGCACTCAGCCGCGGAACGAACAAAGCGACAGGCCAAAACGAAGCAGACGACGCTTCTCCACGCTCTCCTTGCGCTGCTGGAGGCGCGCGCGCGCCAAGAGGAGGAAAGGAGCAAAAGTGGAAAGGGGCGCGTCTTGGCCTATGACAGGCGTGCGCGGCACGACGTACCCGTGACGTACGCGCGCGGGCCAATGAGCAATCGTTATTCCGGTCGTGAAAACCCGCGGAATGCGGACGCTCTCCAAGGTTGTCGCGATAGTGAGTGGGATGAGGACGTAGGGAAGAGAACCAGCTCCCCAACAAGACCAAGATGGCCGCGATCCGACGATCGGTCGTGAAGCGACGCGGGCGCGCAGTTTGACTATTTTTTTGCGTTGGATTCGCGATTTGAGCGTCGCGGAGGCATCGTATTTATCGTTTTTTTTATACTTAGACGTCGAATAGGACATTGAAACTTCGCAGGCAGGTACTTCAGACTATATTCTATCCAAACATGTGATTTTTGAAAAACCCCAAATTTCGCGATTCTTTTACCATTTTAAGACCCGCGTCTCGCCTTAAACGAATTCGTCCCGCCGCAATCTCCATCTTTTTTTTTTTTTTCGGACTCCAATAATTTGGACTTGTTTGATATTTCGGACCTAAAGGCGGAACCGTGACTTATCCCATAGAAATAGTGTATAATCACGACCAATGTTTCGGACAGCTTGAAGTCCGAAAGTTTGATTATTCGGACAAAATCCTCGCGAGCGATCAGCGGAAAACACCATCGAGGAGCGGCCATTTTGAATGGAATCATAGAATTCATTATAGAAAGAATTATAGAACATAGAATTCAAAATTCAAAAGAAGGACACAAAATGCTTTGTGTCCTTCGCTCGTGCGGAGGACACAAAGCAAGCTTGCAGACTTCTTTTCCACTAAATAAATGACGTGGTGAGTTTGCCCACGTGATTTTTTAATTTTCGCTTTCTTTCCACGTGTCCTTTTACGAGTTTTTCAGCAAAAACTGCATGTAACGAAATCCTCCATATAACGAATTATTGCAAACTTTTATCAATTTCGTTATATCCAGGTTTAACTGTATTTCACTGTTGTAGCTGTTCAATTTTTTTTTAGAAAACGGCTCCGAAACCTAGCGACAAATCATCAAAGCAGCCACGTTTGCACATTTTCGACACAAACAGTATAGCCTCCACAATGCTGTACAGAAAGAAATCTAGTTCCCATGATCCATTATAAGTGCAAAATATTTGAGATTTCTGCTATTCAGTTTGCATACTAGGCATCACCAAACATGACATAAACGAAAACTTAAAAGTCAAATATGCCATTCTGGTGCACTAAACATTTCCTTTTCTCTTCAAATGTTGTTTTTTCGCAAAATCACTTTTTTATTGTTTCCTACGCATGTTGAGAAGTAACAAAAAATATGTCTGGACTCATGTGCATGATCTTATTGAACAGAGCCTACAAACGTTGAGAGGCACTCAAACAACTTCATTGTGTCACGGCAAAACAAGCCACGACTATCGCCGCATTCTTTTCCACTCTTCCGTCAGTTTTTTTCCTCGGTACCACAAGTGTCGGCGCTTCATACTTGGCCCACTCCGCCCTTGCCTTTCTTTCCCCGACGTGGCGAAACGACACCAGCAGAACTAAAGAGGGCCCAAGACTTTCTGCAGCGACGTCGAAGGAAAACGAAGAAAGAAAAATGCACCCACCGCAGGGCAGGGCGAAGGCAAGCGTGCAGAGGAAGCTGCCCAGATAGTTTGGGTGGCGCACCAGGCCCCAAAGCCCAGAGACCAGCAGCCGGTTGCCGGACTTGTCCAGCAGGTAGTCCAGACCTGCACCCAAAAGACCGTCGTCGCAACGCGTCCAAAAAGGATGCCTGCCGTTAGCTCTCGCTACGGACATGCGATTGCTAATGCCAGCTAAAGGGAGTGGGACACCATCTGGGAGGGAGCACTGCTGCGGCGGCAACGCCACAGATCGTTCTCTCTGCCGTAACTTTTTGCGTCCCGCTTTCGCATCTCGTGTTTTACTCTCGCTGAAATTGTGTTCTACGTCACAAACTGCGCTAAAACTAAAGCTGCTCGTAACACTGCCGAGGAAAACGCATCTCCTACTCATATCGACGGCAGTTACGCAATACGTGCCGAGCCTCGTGCCCCCATCCGAGTTTTCCGTCTCAAACTAAACACGACTCGGGCACCATAAAGGCATTCATGACCAGAACCGTAAAGAAACGCGTTAGAAGTATGGTACAACTTCGTCAATATGTTCTCGGTTATGCCGCACTTCCTAACCTACCACGAAATTTCGGTGACTCCTACTTAAACTACATTTCTGCAGTAACTCGTAATGCATTTCAATCAGGATTAATTCTCAAAATTATTTTGATAAACGCACAACTTCGCGTCCATTTAGCACCATAACTTCGGCGCTTCGTATCGCCTTAGACCCTGCAGCAATTGCGGTGCTCAACCAAAACAAAACTACACAAAATCGGAACAAGGCCGTATACTTTCTTGGTTTAACCGAAAAACACCAATAAACATCCGCCGGTGCATAAAATAAAAAATCCGTTAAAACAGAAAAATACCGGGTTTTAAAATTGTTTTTGTACAAGTAGCAGTTGTTTTTTTTTTTTCTTCTTTTTTTTTTTTTAGAGGAAATGGGACCAACCAAGCAGCGCCAAAAATGCAAGTCACTGGCCTTTTCTGTTTGATTGGTTTAGCAATGAAAGAATACATACAAACGCGATGCACACCATGACGGTGCACTTTTCACGCAGTCAAATTGGTCTCATCAGATGAATTCTCAATTCCCCTCTTGATTGTTTGTTTCTATTCAATAAAAGCCATTTTGCCAAAATGCGCCAGTATTTTGGAAAAAAATAAACGCGAAAAAACATTCTCCATGTTTTTACATAAAGAGACGCCGGAAAGTACAAGGCCCAATCGTGAATCAACTTTGCTAGCATAAAAAAAGAAAAAAAAGTGCCTCGATTACTCTTCTCGAGTCGCAGTAACGTCCATTACTTTTCGAGGGCCACTTTTAGGGTGCCCATTTGCGACCCGCATCGAGGGGCCCACCGAGCACATGCAGACGGGTGGCCCCCACAAAGTTGTGGCAGGTTGCGGCAACGCACCTTGTCCCCTGGAGGACGGGTCGGGCCAGTTGCGACGAAACGAGTACTTGCGCTTGTGGGACAGGTGGAGCAACGTCTGGCCCAGCACTGCGGGGAAGGCCACGCGCACGAGCATCATGCACAGCGCAAAACCCGTGAGCACGCCGCATGACGCATTTCTTTATACCGTAAGCGAGCGCCGGAGAAAAAGGAAGCTCACGGTACAAGCGTGTTTTTCTGATGCGAAGCTCGCTTAATTGGAAACGTTTCCTCCTCTCCGTGAGCTTCGAGTCGTCGAGAGTCGACCGTTTTATAGACCTTGTTTGCTGGTATGTATTCTACGGGCTAGGCAATATGCGGTAAACATAGAATTCAAACGGCGCAAAAAAACAGGCTGGCAAGTATAAGAGGCACAGACACTGCACTGACTCGCAACTTACTCTCGTTATGTACATCAACACAAGAAGACAAAGAAAGCAAAGAGCAGAATCTCACATGTAAGACATCTTCACTGCCATGTGCCATCCGAAAAATTTCTAACAAAAAGTATCAATATAAAAAAAAAAAATTAAGGTGGGACACTACCCAGAAAAATAAAATTTCTGAAAAAAAAAAAAACAAAAAAAAACATTCATTTTGAAAAATGACACATTTACATCCACCAACATCTAGAGAGTATTCCCAGAAAGTTTAATTAGTTTACAATACATAGTTAATGTTTTCTAAATTATTTTCTGTCCATTCATGCTAAAGAAAAGGTAGGGTTTGGAGCACTTTGAACACATTTTTCTCCGTTCCACATTTTGGTATAAAATCCATTTTAGTCAATCTATCGTTTGATAATGGCAATACAGGGAAGGCTCGTTCTTCACTTTTCCTGACTGAAATTTAATAAGGACGCCACGCAGCAACACTTGTCGATAGCACGCCATGCACGGAAGCACCCATATATGCACCAAACAAGAAAGTTGACCAGGAGCTTGCGATTAACAAGGCAGCCGACTTGGCCCGACGCTGAGGTATTTGCAAATACGATTACCAACTTTCCCGCTCCCCCAGCATTGCTCTTCGTCAAACCTTTCGTCCGCTCGTTCGTTGCGCCTTTCACGGAACAATCAGTAGCACTGCATGCCGATCGGCGGTGTTCATCGCGCGTATGCAAGCAACGGACTTTGCGATAGTAAAACATTCTTTCGTGAGCATTTTTTGAATAAAACAATGAAACTAATTCGAGTTGAAAGTATCTCTCGTGAAGCCGTGCTACGTACGCACAGGGGGGTGGGCAATGATTCGGGATATTACGGTTCATGTTTACTATGCACCGCCAACTCTGACAATACATGATTTAGTTGCAAGTCAGAGCCGTGTTTGTTCTCCTTCCTTCCGCGTTCGTCCCTCCCTAAACTCCCCAATTTAGTAAAGACAGGGTTCAGTCTCACACCACCGGACCTGAAAAAATAACCCCCCAAGTTGGTTCGAGGAAGTAGCCGAAAAACCCCGAACATGTAGAGGAAATAAAATAAAGCCCCCGAGACATCTCCCAACTCAAAGAAACCCGAGCAGGTAGGAGGTAGCCCCTGGAAGGCGTGCTCACCGAAGATGGCCCCTATGGAGGCGAGGCAGTAGAGGGGCATGGTGGGGCGCCACTCGTGCAGGTAGCGGGCGGGCAGGCTGGACAGGAGGGGCAGCAGGGCCAGGTTGGCCACCAAGGACACGTAGCCCAGGGCGTCCTCGGTCACAAACACCGAGGCCAGGTAGTACTCCTGGAACGGGACCATGGCCACGTCACAACCCAGCCACCAAGGCCCATCTTAGGCATTAGAATACTGTCGAGACCGGTCGTAACGAAAACGGATGTAACGAAATAGCGGCTACAGCGAAGCGATCACAATTTCCCATTCCTTTTTTGCACTTTGTTAACCGAAGTCGCTTATAACGAAATAGCGGATATAGCGAAGGGATTTCCGATTCCCTTTGACTTCGTTAAACCGGTCTCGACAGTAAATCGAGACTTTCTCATTTCAACCATTAGACTTTTAAGGCCCATTCACACACTACCGTTTGCTTAGAATTGAGTTCTAGCAATCTCTTACAACAGGGCCCATCCTATACCACGGGAAGCGTTTGTATTTTAATGGAGAGCACGCCGGAAGGCAGAGACGTTTGCAAATGATACACGCTTTCTGCACCTCCTTGCAGCTCGTATTGCATAGCCCATAAACCACGTGACCCCTATTGAAGGGTTGGAAATTCACCGTAATATAGGCTCTCTAGAGAACGTTGGCACCACCTATTGAGGTCATCCTGAAACTGCATTTCACTCGAGCGAAGGATTTGAGGTATACGCGAGGTCAAATGCATCTATTATCTATGAGACATGGTGCTTTATAACATTGTGAAAAAGTTTTCCAAACCAAAAAAGAATAATGCGAGAAAATAAAAAAGGAAATACCATAAAATTCCAAGCAAGCGCACCCCCGCATGCAAGTCAAAATTACCTGCAAAGTGTGTGTGTGTGTGTGTGTGTGTGGGGGGGGGGGGGGGGGCGCTATCCCGGAACGGCACCAAAATTCAAGATGGCGACGACAAAACTTTTTAGCCAGAGAAAGAAAAAGAGCACATTGCACATGGATTTAATATTTTATTTATCTCTGAGAACATAGACTTTATTAGGCCAAAAATTTGTCACTGCTGTATTAATCACTTTCAAAATCACCAAATGACTCCTCACAGTCGGTGTCGCAAAAAAAAGTGTGGCATTCCGCGATGTTTCCCAACTGCATGCTGCTGGCTATTTTGACAGCCTCTTCAGAAAGAAGCCGGTTGCTAATGGCTCTTCTGCACTTCATTCGCGCTCCAGGTATTCAAAGAGAACATCGTCCACGTTTCCACTGAACACCGGCGCGCCGTTACTTAGCTTTCGTCGAAGTTTGGCTTTCCCGTAGTTTGGCGGTAGAAAATTGTCAAAATTCTTGTCCCACTTCCGTATCCGGTCCAGCTTGATGCGTCGAGACGTCTGGTGTACGTTTTTTCCGTTTTCACGGCCATTGTGTCAGAATGCATAGCCGAACTAACACCGCCAAAACAAAGCAACAATGGCGCGTGGCGACCGAGCTGATCGGGCAGCAAAGTAGGATTGGATTGGATTGTTGAACTGGATTTTGCAGGCCAGGGTTGCCTGGGCGCGGTCAGCACGGTGCATGATACAAGTGTGGAGCGGGGAGGGGGCGCTTTCCCGGAACGGCGCGGAAATGTGAAATTAGCAGTGAAATTGGGGGGGGGGGCTCTCGCACGGGTGGGGGCGCTTGCTCGGAATTTTTACAAGGTAGTCGGATCGAAAGCGATCCCAAGAGGCATTGCTCGGTCGTAAGCAAGACGACGACGGCGTACGGACACTCACCTCGGCGTAGAAGGCCATGCAGATGTAGATGAGCTGGCAGGTCGCACTCGTTGCAAAGTTGTAGCCCAGGCACTTGTTTGCTGCAAACTCCTGCCAGGCCGTGAAGCCCACCAGCACGGCCTGCCCGAGGAGAGGGAGCGTCAACACAAAGCTCAGACGGCTCTATTCTGCGTTCGGAGTGGACGCAGCGGAATGCTAAAGGGAGCGTTCGAGGCTGGTTCGCACGCTGGCCCTCGACAGCAATCGAGCCCGCTGCATTCCCTCGTTAGGACGGGAGAACACACTGGCGCCGTCTGTCGGGCAGCGACTTGCAATCTGCACACATCTTTCTGTCGCAAATCTTTACGCACCCTTCGTCGTAGAGAGTGCATAAATTTCGTCCTGTAAAAACCGCCATCTAGTCTATTTCCTACCGAGGCAAAACACGGGGACAAAAAGGGAGAGGCAACGCGGGGCAAGGCGTCCCTCGCACACGTGCAGTTTGAATTGTCTACGTGCGTCGTCTAATTAAATAACAGTCGGAAGTATGCCTCGTCCCGTGTTGCCCCTTGCTTTCTGTCCTCGTGCTTTTTGGCGTAAAACCTAAGAGCGAATTGGAACCAATTAGCCCAACTTTCAGTCTCGATCCTAGTTTACCTATTCGTGTATTTACGCTCGAGGTCGTACGACAATTTACGTTATCTGCAGATTGGCTTGCGTATAGACAGATGGTACCAGGGTGTCTTCTGTCGTCACGAGCGGTTACAATGAAACACGACGACCTCAAGAACAGTCAAACGCAAATACGGAGGGAAGAAAGGTCAAACGCGAGAAGCGGAAAGGTGCCGTGCACATGCATTCTTCGCTGTGGCTCTTGCATAACGTCTCGGTCAAGGAAAAATAATGCAACACATCCGTTGGCATACTTAATACAAGATTTCCTAAATAAACATCCAATCAAGTCACCAATTACGTGGCTTAAAGGGATGCTGAACCGAAAATCAAATTTCAGAAAACAATGCAGAATCGATAGGCAGGAATATACAAATCCCAAAACGTCGCTCGGAAAGCGGTATCTCCAACGGATCGTCGTATTTTCGGAAAAGAAGAGCACGCTCGCACAAGGCCGAAAAGACGCATGACCTCACGATCCTCATCTCCTCCTCTTTTTCGCTTTGACTCAGCAAAGGCACGGAGAGGAAAAAGAGCGAGGCCATTTCTCCTCCTTCTCAACACTTTTGCGATAAGATGACGTCAACATTCTCTCTCATTCGCTCCTTTATTTTCCAGAAATACGGCCACCCGCTGGAGATATGGCTCTATAAGTGATGTTTCGTGGTTTATGGCGCACTGTTGAACACTTCTGCAAGGATTGTTTTTGTGAAATCGGAATTTCGCTTCAGCGTCCCTTTAAGGCACAGCTCTAAAAACAACATAAAAGTGTGCCTTTTCTCGTGCACCGCGTAATAAATATTTTAAGGAGTCATTTACTCTGCCCTTTCGATTGCAGGGGTGTACCCCATGCTTCATTTGTTTTTGTATAGTTCCATTTGTTTTTAAGGACACGTGCAAAGAAAAAAAAAAACTTTTTTTTTTAAAAATCAGTTTGCATGGAAAAACAAAATCATAAAACAAATTTACAACGAAAAGAAAATCATTTTTAGAGCTATACTTACGGCGCAAAACGAATTTGTAGTTGGTGCCCGCGGGAACCGCCACTGCTCACACGTTAGACCTGTGAGCCGCTCCCGCACGCTGAGCGTAACGCGCCTCCGGTTCAACGCGTTTCTTCACGCTGCTGTCACCGAAAGGGAAACACTCGGGCGCGCCAACCCCGTCAGTTTCTGACCGGTGCACCGTTCTATCGCGTGATGCTTGCGCTCTTTCAGGAGCTTCCTTTGGGCTCTAACAGTTACTTATTAATGTTCATTTCTTTGTTACACTTCCAACGAACATTAATAAGCAACTTTTAGAGCCCATATGAAGCTCCCGAAAGAGTGTAAGCACCATGCAACCATAGCAGCCACTTTTCTGCAGGCTCCCACGGGCTCCAACTACAAATTTGTTTCGTGTCATAAATATGGCTCTAATTTTTTTTTTTTTTTCCTTTTAAGTTTGTTTTACGACTTTTTTTCCATCTAGGCTGCTTAAAAAAAACTTTTTTTTCCTTCGCACGTGTTCTTTAAACTGTTGTACGTACCGTATTTGCACAAATATAACACGACCACAAATATAATGAGAGGACAGGTTTTCATACCCTCAAAAAGAAAAGAAAAATATCATTACTATTATAACGCGAGCCTAGGCCGGGTAAAGTTATCGCAGGGGCATGGCAGAATTGAATAGGGAATGGAAATCAAAGAAATATCATTTTAGGTTTTTGACTGCACTCATCCTCGCTGCTCAGGTTCTTTTAACTGTCCAGTCTGCAACCCACTTGGCGACTTTGCAGATACCCAGCAGCAAGGCACCATTTGTCTACCATAAAACACAGATAAGTGCCCAGTCAAAATTTAGAGATAGTCACGAAAAAATGGGGGACGAGTGCTTGTCCGGTGATCAATTTTACATATAAATGTACCGTGCATACTTTCTCAGATCTTACAAATTTGGAAATGGGCGCTTAGTGTGGAATGGGCTGAAGCGCAGTATTCTACGGTAGTAGTTTCTTCACTCCTTCTTGCTTCCCGTGACAAACACCAGACCACTCTGGAGTAGAAACAAAAAAATGCACAGGCAGAAAGAAGATTTCTTTGCATTTTGGAATATGTAATTATGAAAAAGAACTCGCGTTATATTCGTGCAAATATGCTAATATGTTGCAGAGTTTGTGCTACAAATTGTTGTTTTCCTTTTATTTTCCTCTGGCCATTTCTCGTTGAGTTTTTCCTTCTCCAACATTGCTGTTGACCGCCGAGCAGCGAGAATGGGAAGCAGGGTCTCCGTTGGGCAGAGCAAGTCTGCCTTTCGCCTCGCTACCCTAGACAGAAAAAAGGCGGACAATGTGGTCTCCTCACCCAGCTGAGCAGACCACAGCGGAAGCAGAGGGCAGACAGGTCGTACACCTCGCCGATGCGCGGCGAAAGTTCCCTGCCCACCACGAAGTCGTTCAGGACGTTCCCTGAAAGAGGCACCGTCGTCCCGTCGGTCACACCTTTGACGGGCACCGCCGCAGGATGGAGCCACTTACCACCCCCTAAAGCCACAGTAACACTACTCGTACGTCATACAAAAGACACAGGTGTTCGCTGCAGAGATGACGGAATCATCTGCGGTTATGCCTCGAGCACCTCTGAAGTAACATACGTACACTTTAAATATGCACTCCGACAGTATCTTCACACGAGGAACACCTCTTGCAGTGCCTGTACTCTTTTCATTCTTCAGCTACTTCCCCGGCTTTTGCGATGCGCTAACCTGCCTCGAATGCACTCTGCATATGAGCTGCGCATGTGCAGCGCCTCCGCATGCGCAGGACATCCACATATCCACGACACCATTGTCGATGTCGTTCTTGAAGTCATCCTTAAGACCGTCCTAGAGGTCGTTCTAGACGTCGTCCTCTAGGATGTCATCCTAGACGTCGTCCTAGAGATCGCCCTAGAGGTCACTCTAGACGTCGTCCTAGAGGTCTCAATGCTAACGCAATTCATAGGCAACCAACAATAGTGGTTTCTGCAGCCAATTTTTGTACGATGTATTGGCAGTGTGAACGCAGCTTAATGCTACTCTTAATGGTGCGGAAGTATGTTGCGATTACCAACAAGCTCTTATTTTGTAGCACGGTGTGGATCACACGTGCACAGCGTGGCACAGTTAACACAAACGTAAAATTGACCCTTTTTTTAACTTCCTGTCATATTCCAATTATAATGCTGTGGTGGGAAGTGCTCACTTGTGGCACTAACCAGGCAAGATTATTCTATGCTCGCCAAAAACGTACCGCTCTTGCGGAGTGCTTTCGCTAAGCAAAATTGCGATGCTTACTTTGTGGTTGTCGCTTCACTGCAGTACACAAGATTACGGTGGAAGTGCACTCAACAAAGCAAACTTACCCGCCAGAGCAGACTATGACCATAAGAGATATTGCACAAATTCTGAATAATGTCAGTGTTTGACACTGACAGGGTGATCAAATAGGATAGTATGTTATTTGTAGCTATAACTGAAAGGTCTGAGAATTCCCACGAGCCTACCATAATGATCCGGACATGTAGCGGGGCCTGAGCCATTATATTTTCAGTATGAATAATGTGAAATAAAGTTTTGGCGCAATCTCGGCACAAATTCCCCACATTTGGGCTAACTTCAGCAGGATGTAGCGGGGCAAGTCCTATGGCGCAGTTAGGCGCAAACAGTGCAGCAATCGCATCACCGAGCGAGGATAAAAACACAGCTTCGTCCGCTAATCATAGATAAAAGCTGCCTTGCTTTTCCTTCATCATATAATTACAAAACAAATAAATTTATGTATCACACACAAATTATCATTACCATACTCTGTTATTTGCAATATTATTGAATGTTTTCAAACCCGCCGTGACTGACGCAGCTACCTATGGCAATGTTCTTCTCGAAGGCAACATTCACCTGCTTCTAAGAGGAATAGGTGTCGCAAGGGGCGTTAACGGAACTACAGGATAGACGCACTTCGGTCCTCATGATGAACTTTCAACAGGAGACACAGCATCTCACAAAAGGTGCCATTGTAGTTCACGTCAAGGAGCTTTGCAAAACCGCCGAGGTCACCGCGATTTCTGAAGAAACCTCACCATCTCGCCAGGACGCTACACCGCTACCGCAACTCGACATTACCCCGAGAATCCTCGTCTTGGACTGATGACGGTCGATAGACCTCCTAACCGAATTCAGCGACTGCTTTGCGACGTCGTCGAAGGTGCACCTAACAATGGTTGCGAAGCATCGCATCGTTATTAACGACGATGCACTCCCTGCGCATCGGTCGCCGTACCTCTTTAGAGGAAAGAGAGGCCATACAGGAGCAAGTTCAGGAAATGCTCAATAACGACATCCTCCATCCTTCAAGCAGCCCGTGGGCCTCCTCAGTAGTACCGGAGGATGGAAAATAACGCCTAGGTTCTGCGTGGACTAGAAGTAGCTCAATGCAATGACGAAGAAGGACGTCTACCCACTCCCCGGTATCAATGGCAAGCTCGACCACCTGCGCCACTCCCGATACTTTTCGTCGATGGACCCGAAGAGTGGCTACTGGCAGATCAAAGTCGGCGAACGGAACCAAGGAAAGACTGCCTTTGTCACGCCCGATGGACTGTACGAGTTCAAGGACTTTGTACAGCACCGACAACATCCTGGCGTGTCATGGATAACGTGTTGGCAGTCCTCAAATGGCACAACTGTCTCGTTTACATCGACGACGTCGTGGTACTCTTGAGACTTCGACGAGCACTTGAGACGCCTTTGAGCGTGCTTCGCGCAATCAGGACCACCGGGCTTGCCCCCCTCAAACCGAACAAGTGTCAGTTCACGCATGGAGAACTGAAGTTCCTAGGTCATGCTTTGAGCAACGAAGGTGTTCGTCCTGACCCTGAAAAGACTCGCAGTGTAGCGGCGCTCTGGTCAAGTAGTCGAAAGGAGTATAGTTCCCAGTATCTTCTCAAGAAAAGCGCTAACCTTCGCCATTCAACAGGGCGTCCTCTACGAAAAAGAATTTTGGGGATAACAACTCAGCGTGGCTCTTAGTGATCCCTTCGTCTGCAAGAGATCTTCCAAGCCTGCCACGACGACCCGACGTCCAGACACCCCAGTCACAGCAGGATTCTGGCCGATACCAAAGACAGTTCACCAGTGTTGCGCAAGACTGTTTCATCAGTTCCAATGCCGAAACTTCCAACTAAGCCAGCAGGACTCCTGCAACCGATTGCGCCGCCTACTGCTTAATTTTAGCATATCAGAATGAATCTACTAGGACCCTTCCTAGCGTCACCGTCGGGGAACCGCCAGATAATCGTTGCAATAGATTACTTAACCCGGTACACCGAGACAAAGGTGTTGCCGCAGAGGTCGCCAAGTTTTTCATAGAATCCCTCCTTCTCCGGCACGGCGCCCCCGAGGTCCTGATAACCGACGAAGGGTCAGCGTTCATGAATTAGCTAACTTGGGAGATTCTTCGGCTAAGCCACACTAGCCATTACCGAACAACCGCGTACCATCCGCGGACCAACGAACTGACAGAATGCTCAAAAAGACATAAACGTAGAACACAAGATGTGGGACGAGGTGTTACCCTACCTCACTTTTACCTACAACATGGCGGTTGAAGAGACCACCAGAGTGACACCATTTCGGCTGGTGCACGAAACAAAGGTGACGACGATGCTCGACTCAATGCTGCCCCATAAACCTGCCGACGACAAGAGCGAGGACGCCCAGATGGTCATTCAATGGGCAGAAGAGGTCCGTCAGCTCGCCCGACTTCGGATCAGAGACCAACAACGTGTCGACGCTTCGGAAGGCTACGACGCCGTGGGTTGGCCCACAAACTCGAACCACCGGAGGACACGTGATTACACCTGCCGGAAGGTGCACTGCACCAGTCAAGAACCATGGTACGATCTGCCCCGTGACATTCGTCGTACTGCAAAACTGTGCGAGACTTTGTTCTTGGAATTGACTTTCCGCGTAAATATGTGATGTACTTTCTTTTTTTTTCAGGGGGGAGTAATACCGCATGTGTGGCCGAGGACACGCCACGGCTCCCACGTAGGCGTTCGGGATTTGAATCCAGGCATTTGAGATGCGTTTATCGATTGACTCCACTCCATTTTTCTACAAGATTCATATTTACTCTTACCCCAGGTGTAACGGACAAGGCCAACATGACCTTGCCAAGTCAGTCTGCGGAGTGTTTGACGGTCAAACGTTCTAGACAGAATGTTCGAGATACTGAGGGTGATAGATAAGGGGCCGGAGGGCGATGGATAAGGGGCCGGAGGGTGATGGATAAGGGGCCGGAGGGTGATGGGTAAGGAGCCCCTGTGGTCTTGCTGACTCATCCTCGCACCCTCGCTCTAGCCAGCTCTCACGCCAACGCCTTCGACGCTCGCTGCTGTATTCTTGACGCTCATTCTTTCTTCTGTTTCTGGCACAAGTTTGCCCATTAAACCTTTATTTCCAGTTTTAAACTCGTCAATCCGTTTCCACCTGCAACAATATCCGTCATGTCTCGTCACAACGAACAATCTAGAAAAAACAAGCCCTCATATAGTCTGCATCTACACAGTGCGCAACTTAAAAAAAGATTATAGTGTCTTTTTAACGGTAAAAATAAACGATGCCTCGCCAAACGCGCAGTCTCTGTTCAAATGTAGCGCCAGCGGCCCGGACCACATGCCAAAGTTTCAGAGCTAACCGTTATAAGTTCTGAAACTTTCAATGGGAAACTGGGGCTTGTTCCCGGTAACTTGCGCCATTCATCATCGCGTATTCGTGGGCTTCGTCGGCTACCCTTTTCCCATTGAAAATTTCCGCAGATCGCTTATTTGGAAAGAGATTACGGTTAGGTTTGAAACTTCGGCATCTGGTCCGAAACCGCTACACTTGGGCGGAAACTGAGCATTCAGCGATGGTTTAGTTCCTTCTTGCAATTAAGAAAACACTCAACCTTTGTCAGGGACACCCTGCAGATGGACCGCACCGCATAAAATTTAAAAGAGTATAGTCCGCAGAATGCGTCCAGAAATTAATGGTATGCAGAAAACAAGTTGTCTGCTTTTTGCGCAGGAGTTGCGGTGAAGTCAGAACGACGCCAATCTCCGATTGGCTTTGATTGAAAGGAGAGTGGGTAGACCTCAATGCTAATGCCTTGACGTCTAACCACTAAATTTTTCTAATCGACCAATAAGAGCTCGACGCTCTTACATCGTCGCAACCCCTGCAATAAAAAAAAGCAGGCCCAAAAACAAAACAAGAGCCAGAAAGACGAACCAGTGTTGCCGGCGGGAAAGCGGTGGTTGCGGGACGCGAAGCGCCCCTTGATGTAGAGCAGGACGGAGAGCACGGTGGCCGTGACCAGCACCGTCACCAGCAGCTGCAGGCTGTGGAGGTGCAGTGCGGACGCTGATAACCCGTAGTACACCAGGCATCCGAAGGCCGCAGCCGTGGCCAGCAAGTTCACCCAGCCTGTTCGGAAGAGACACACACGGGCTTGCCTTCAAAGAGAAGTTGAAGAGGTCCTCGAGTAGTAAAAAACAGTGAAAGTTTTGATATAGGCAACTCAAACATCATGCGTTTAATGTTTTCTTTAAATCTTATTAGTAGGAATATAGTAACAGCCAACTAAAATTTCGCCGTAGCCCTGCCCGTTACGGTGCGCCGAGCGCAGGAAAGCGGAGAGAAACATTTGAGCAATCCTACGTTAATTCACGGTACAGCCGCAGGGATAGCTGCAACAAGTTACGACCAATTCTTTGGGCATCGGCGTTGCGTTTACATACCAAATGGGCATCTGACCATTTTATTCCGAAACGCAGGAGAGTGTGTCTCCCAGAAGGAGTTCTTGGCACTGACAGTGCTACAACAACATTTTATTATCGGCCACTTTTTTTTTTCCAGAGAGCGCGTGCGGTGGGCATCGGTTACTACAAAAACGCAAAGCATGGAGCAGGTTGTTAACGCTGCGGCAGAGCTCAGTGGCAACGCCTCCACTTCGCACGCGGCGGATCCAGGTTGATCTTTTTTAAGGATTTGGCAACACCGAAGACAGGCGCCCTACAATGCCAAGTGCAACATCAACAACTACTATAACTACAGCATTAGCTACTACAACTCCATCAACAATGCACACAATTCCCGGGGGTGAGGAGAGCCCACAACAGCTGTCGCTGTAAAACTAGCAAAAGTGGCGTGCATAGCTCGCCGCATGCTATGCAACAACCGTTGTACATATTTTACGAAGTGCGGTTTACATTTACTTTTGTGCAAGTTAAATGCGATAACTGAATTTAAGGAACAGAAATCTGTAGAAGTCCACTCCTTACTAAGATTATTTTTAAAAGCGCTTCAGCTCCCATTCACATACGGTTAAAACTCGATCCAACGAAGCTGAAGAGGGGCACGAATTACTTGGTTAGATCGGGAACATCGTTGTCTTGTGTACGCCCTTCTACTTTGTCTTTGTTTTTTGTGCACTGTGTCGATTTTACAAAACTTTGTTAAACCGAAAATGGCATTTTTCAGGCATTAAATTTGATTTTCTAAGCTCGGGCGGGTCGCTCATCTGAACGTGAACGGGCCGCTCATCTGATTGAGAACACTAATATTACTTCTTATCTTTCGGTTGCAGAAACAAGTTCCATTTTTCTTTCACCGATTGCTGAGGGGGAAATTATCACTTTATTACAAGCCTTAAACAATAATTTGTCGGCAGGTCATGATGACCTAAAACCGGCGCCGATTAAAGCTGTGTCTCGACTGATTAGTGCGCCTCTGACTCATATTTGCAACATTTCTTTATCTCGAGGAATCTTTCCTGATAAAATGAAGGTCGCTAGAGTGTGTGTTTTGCATAAAGGTGGGTCACTGCATGATATGAATAACTGTAGGCCCATATCGGTACTACCATTGTTTTCGAAAATCCTAGAACAAGACATCAATGACAAATTGGTATGTTATCTAGCTAAGAAGAACTTAATTCCGCAACAGCAATATGGGTTTCAGAAGAAAAGGTCTACAGAAATGGCGTTATTAAACATAAAAAATAAATTAATCGATAATTTTGAAAACCAGTTATATACAATCGGTATCTTTCTAGACTTTCGAAAAGCTTTCGACTCCATCAAACATGATGTGCTTCTTCAAAAACTACCATTCTACAGAATAAGAGGTATCCCATTAGACTTAATTCGAAACTACTCATCGCATCGCTTACAATACACTGTCATCAACGGCTTTCAATCTGACCTAAAGCAGATTAAGTATGGTGTTCCCCAGGGGTCAATTTTAGATCCGTTGCTTTTTCTTTTATACATAAATGACCTAGTTAACATAGCACAAACTCCAGATATTATATTATATGCCGACAACAATAATGTTTTTTTTACAGATAAAAATCCTAATAGGATTGAGAACATGGTAAACACTTGGCTCGAACGATTATCACACTGACTACAGCTAAATCAACTAGAATTGAACATCAGTAAAACAAAATACATTATCTTCAAGTCGAGAAATAAAGCATATGATCATGATATTTCAATAAAATTCCAAACCGATATAATTGAGCGAGTGCCCTCTTACAAATTTTTAGGTGTGTGGTTTGAGGAAACGCTAAACTGGTCATGTCACATAAACCATGTTTGTGGTAAAATATCTAGATCAGTTGGTATTCTGAATAGAATTAAGTATCTCCTCCCCAGCTGGCTCAAGCGTCAATTGTATTACAGTCTTGTTCACTCACATCTTCATTATTGTCTGTTAGTTTGGGGGTCCACTACAAAAAGCAATCTTAATAAACTCGTTATTCTTCAAAAGAAAGCAGTTCGCTGTATCGAAAACTTACCTTCTAGAGAGCATACCGCCCCTTATTTTTCAAAGTATTCCTTATTGCGTGTTGAACAACTTTTTAATGTTAGATTTGCAATAGAAATATATAAAAATATCAAAAATGACCAAGCCGCATTTCATGAGCAGTATCCTCGTAAAAAAAACAAATACAATTTCAGAGAAGAAAAATATGTCAAATCAAAGACGAGAATGAATTACGGAATACAAAGCTTGGAATATCAGGTACCTAAATTTTTAAAAAGATATCGGGAGATTGAAGCAATGATTATAAGTGCTTTGTCGTTTTATAGCTTTAAAAAGAGTGCAAAAAAGTACTTCTTATCAGACTCTCCTTAGTGATAATTTGTGCCTGTCATTTTAACTTTGTTGTGTATTTAGTATTGTATAAAGTGATCATTTCTGTATAGGCAGTTATAAATGTTTTGCATGGACAATTACGTGACCGCTTTTGATATGTCCGTCGTTGATTAGTTACTTTATGCATTTTCTTTATTATTTTTTTTCTTCTTCTGCTGAGTGATGTGTAGGGCTGGGGGAGCCTCGTCAGGCGGCGTTAGATTGCCTTTTGCTTCCTCAGCCCAGACGCAAAGTCTGAATAAAGATATTATTATAAATCTAGTTTTAATGTAACAACATCCAGAGATCTACCGTAAGATCCCGAGAGATGCTCGACCCTCAAAGATAGCCAACCCAAGCTTTTGACATAATTTGCTATTTTTTTTAAAAATCACAGAAAGGTAGCCTGTTTCTAGTAATTGCAGGGGCATGGCCAATGGTACCCTCGGCAGAAATGGTGTAAATTAGTCGCGGCAGGAGGCAATCGAACATTTCTCCCTAGGAACGACAGTCGAATCTGGTTCATTGCTCCTCCCTGCAATCACAAGTGTCGCAGTTCACAAAAACTAAAACTAGCACTTTTCAACTTTTCTTTTTTTATCGCACCCCAAAAGTTAGCTTACTCCTTATTTTGATTCAATCTGCTTTTGATTTTAGGCAAGCTATCAAGAATGTACAGTACCACAAAGGCGAATTTTTTAAATGCCCCTGCGGCGAAATTGTGCTTCATGCATGCATGAATTTTGTGCATAAAGATTACCCGCACAGCTATCACACGAAGAGAACCTTAGAACATTTAAGAGAACAAAAAATATAGTTGTCATACCCTCGACAATTTCGAGTCGATACTTTTCCTGGCACCGCCATCCGTGCCTTTTTGTCAGCAAACTGCGGGAGCCAGCCGGGCTCACGCCGAAGTTCACATATCCCACCAGGGATGCAACAACAGTGCCCTTTGTGATCCAAGCACTTATGATTTCCACGATTTCTCAGAAGGTGAACGTTTGCGTTTTCTTGGGGAACTTCATTTCCCGGCGACGCAGATGTCACTGGCAGGGCACGGTGTCGGCGTCTTTTTCCAATGCCCAGCATCCAGTGCACACTCATGATTTGTTGCGCGTTAGTTGTGCAGGCACGCTCCAAGATAACGAGAGGTGGAAGTAACAAGTACAAAGCACGTGCTGGAGATGGGACGGCTGAAACAGCCCCGTGCCGTTCTTTCCCTGGCCATGTCCTGCCGTTCCAGCGCACCCGTTATTCGCCCTAACCGGAGGGACAAGTGAATCACCACTGAACGCAGCCAAGCGGAACGACCGAACCCCTCGACCAGCTCAGTGTCAAACTCCATCGGTGCCGTCTGTCGCATATGACGGGAAATGCCATAAAACTAGTGCCATCCGTTACAACTGAGTAAAAGCTCAGATTGCTGCATTTGTTTTTCCGTAAGAGCAAAACCAGGGTCACACTGCGTTATTGCTAGCACTCCAGCAATGAACTTTGAGGCATTCTAAACAAAAAAACATTCAAAATTGCCTCTTTTTGAAACTTTTTTTTTTCTTCCAGGAATGATTCACTAAATCGGGTTGATGGCCATATTTATTTCATTATTTCGAGTTCACAAGAACATTGAGCTGTACGAGTTTGGCGGGGGTATCAGAATCTGTTAAAACAAGAATTTTGTAAAATAGAGTTTTAACTGTAGGCAGTTCTAGGGCCACCCGATTAATGGCACCAGTATACCAGTATGTTCCCCAGAGCCTAGATTGAGGGTTCAACTCAAGCCATGGGGAGTGTTTTCAGTTTAATGACGAGCAGGAAAGCGGGCGAAGGGCTGATGCCTGCAGACGAACAACACGTCCATCACCTCCTTGCAGCTCGCATTCTAAACTGTAGGAATTCGCGTACCGCAACCAAGTCGCCGTTTCCCACGTGGTCCGTCAACAACCCGAGTCCAGCCCGGTTCTTGCACGGGAGCGGGATTCCGCTCCCAGTTTATTGGTACAATAAGACACTTAATCGAAACCACAAATACCCGCGACATTACACAAATATTTACAAACGCCCGTCGAGTCCGAGTTAAACACAAAGAGGGCCCCCAGGCCTCGTGTCCCGTGATTACCCTAGATCCGGTCGCACACACTTGCCCGTTTTCGGTGCCTGCCAGAGTACTAAAAGGCCCTTCGCCCCCTTGTCCACCGAGTATATCTCCAATTCTCGATCGATGGGCGAGGAGGTTTCTCCTCGCCCGCCATGGGGCACCTGCAGCGCCATCCAGTGGCTAAGAGAGAAAGCGGCACGTCGGGAGCCGAACTCGAGATCCCGATCGACCCCGCTGCGACGCGACCATGTGATCATGTCTGAGGTGAGGCAACTACCTAGCTGCCTCGCAGCAACTATGCCAGAGTGATTTGATGGGCGCCCTCGTGAATGCACGGGGCACCATAAAACGCAGCCCAAGAACCACGCGACCTCAATCGAGCAGTTGGAAACTCTAGTCCACGAGTCGTCTACCTGTTTTTCTCTCGCGTTCGTATCTTTTCGTGTGCAACTTAAACCGGGTCGTCTGAAGTACTCTCAGGGAAAGGAATTACGAGACCTCGGCCCTCAGCAAACGCAAGTATGGGAACGGGCCTTCAGACACGAAATGGCAAGGTCCCAACTGAGGTGCACTCACCGTTAAGGCGGTACTTGAAGGCCACGTGATGCTTGAACACCTTGGAGGGGAAGCCGTACACGGTGCGTCCCACAGGCAGGGCCTGCAGCAGGGCCTGTGCCAGCAGGAAGCCGGCGTAGCCCGCGAACAGCTGCCAGCGCAGGTAGGCCTCAAGGGACTTGGGCACCGAAGGCAGCGGCAACAGGGCCCAGCTGCCAGAGAGCAGCTGCACGGCCAGGGCCAGCAGGGGCAGCGACAGCAGCCAGCACAGGGAGGCCAGGCTGGGCCCCCAGCCGAAGGACTTGAGGCTTTCCCACACGGCAAAGCGCTTCTCGCTCTTCCCCTTCTCCGGGAGCTTCCCAGAGTCCGGCCGGTCGTCCGCCTGGGATTGGACGGAGGAGCGATGCGGGCCATGTCGTAGGGCGGCTATTTCCTAACTTTGCGTCCCCTCCCCAATTATCTCGGAGCTGGTTCGCGGACCCCCAGTAAATGTGCTTATACAACTACCACACGTAGACTGACCCGAACAAGTAAGGGCCCGTTCACACATTGCATTCACTTATGACCGAGTTCTTACAATCTTTTACGATGAGAAAACAAGCTCGTGCCATCCATGAGGTGGAACTGCATCTCATTAGAGCGTACGCGATATTCGTGAGATCAAATCTACCTACAATCTACGAGACAGTTATCGCATTGTAATTCCGAGCCAATAGGAAAAGAATGATACGCAACAAAAATAGGAAATATAGACACTTTCAGGCAACGTTTCATGGGCGCCGCCATCTTGATGTCACGTGACCCTCCCACCACCGGAGCTTTCTTTTCATGTTCTTTTACGTTCCGCGTTTTCTTTAGGTCTTTCCAATTTTTTCGGGCTTTCATTTATTCATTTGACATCTATATTTCAACAAAGCTCTTGTATTTTCTCTTTTATGAAATGGAATCGGACAGCGAATGGATCGACGATACAGGATTATGGCCTAGGCTTCAGAGACTATGTAGGTTCATCACATTCTTTCGTTTTTCTCGCTAATAAAGGGCAGTCAACACCATTGCGATATATGCGCGCTTTAGACATTGTTTCCGTAAGTAAAAGCCGAACCGCATGTAAGCACTTTAGCGAGCGACGAGATGAGCGACGGCGACAAGGACGAGAGTCGGCAACGAGCAACGGAGATTTTTTACTGTCGCCCATCGCGTTGCTCAATTTTTGGATTTCTAGAAAACGTCACTCACCGTCTTGGTCGCTTGCCTCGTCGCGCGATTGACCGAGCGACATCGAAGCGGGTCGCCGTCGCTTGTCTCGTTGCTCGCCAAATCGCTTGCATGCGGTTTATACTTCATATCGAGGCACCAATGGTTCAGTGCTGTGTGCGTCAAAATTAGTTAAGTATAAACCGCATGTAACCAATTTGGCGAGCGACGATACAAGGGACAGCGACCCGCTTCGATGTCGCTCGGTCAATCGCGCGGCGAGGCAAACCGCATGGAAGCGAAGGGAGCAAGATACCAAGGAGGTAAGCGACGTTTTTTAAAAATCCAAAAACCGAGCGACAGTGAGAAATCTTCGTCGCTGACTCTCGTCATTGTCGCCGTCACTCGCTAAAGAGCTTACATGCGATTTGGCTTTTACTTAAAAAATGATGTCTAAAGCGTGCACATGCAGTGAGAAGCACAACTGCGATAGCCTTACTGCGGCAGTTGAAATTTCCATAGGTCGCAATGGTGTTGACTGCTCTTTATTAGCGACGAAAACGAAAGAATGTGATGAATTTACATGGTCTCTGAAGCCTAGGCCATAATCCTGTATAGTTGATCCACTCGCTGTCTGATTCCATTCCATAAAAAAGAAACTACAAGAGCTTTGTTGAAATATAGATATCAAATGATTAAATGAAAGCCCGAAATATCAGAAAGACCAAAAGAAAACACACAATTTCAACGCGGAACGTAAAAGAGCACAAGAACAAAGCTCCAGTGGTGGCCGGTGCAGCACGCAATCCGGAGCAACGGCGAGAAACTGGAGGTCGGCTATGGCGGCCTGAGAGCGCACGGAGGGCGCGCCGACTGGTGGCAGCTCGAGTCACTGACTCCCTGAAAGCGTTTATACGGAGATGCCGAGCATTCAACGGCTACCCAATAGATGGCGCCAGTGTCGTCAAAAGAGATATTAATAAAGGCACACGGTTGTAACCAGTCCAAGGTATGAGAACCAGCCTTTATAGTACCACATTTCCACTACGCGGATGGCCAAAGTGCAACGCCGTATTAAAACCTCGTCCGTTCGAAAATTCACACGGTAATTTAAATCTTTATTGTGGTCCCAGCAAATAGCAAACGGGGTTTCCCACTACAGGTGAACCTGCTTACTACTTTTAACCCCGTCGGTGAAAAGAAATTTGAGAGTGCACTGGCTGGTTAGAACTAACTCTCAAAAACCCGCACGACTTCGCAGAAACGAAAGTGAAGCGAAACGCTCCGAAAAAGGCCTCGCGGAGATGCGCGCGGATGTTAATGTCGGGCACGAGATGCAAATGCAATTTTTAAGATAAACAAAGCACAGTGCACGGCGAGCGCACGACTTCGCAAAAACGAAAGTGAAGCGAAATGCTCCGGAAAAGGCCTCGCGGAGATGCGCGCGGATGTTAATGTGGGGCACGAGATGCAAATGCAATTTTTAAGATAAACAAAGCGCAGTGCACGGCGAGCGCGATGTCGACGACGACAACGACGGCAAATCACGAAGGTAGGGTGAACCTGACGTAAGGCCGGCACTAGTGCCACCAAAACTAACTGCCAAACCCCGACTAATCAAAATGCCCCAGCGTGCATCGCCAGCGCCGTCGGCTGCCACGAGGCATGGTGCCGGGAACCCCTTCTTCAACCGTTTAGTGTCATATATCGTCCGTTCGTCGAGAGCGGTGCCAAAATCCAACTGGTGCATTTACTGCATCCCAAAAAGTGGTCCCTCGGCTTTTGCAGTCGTCATTTTGGGACCGCTTTTTGCGCGGGAGTAGAACGAAACGCCGAGCATGCCGGTCCGATGCGCGTTCCAGGCGCCGTGGTGGCACGGACAACGAAGGGCGACCCACTCACCCCGGTGGTCTGCATGGTGGCAATGCGGGCCGAGGTCCTCAGCGCGCCCCGCCCCCTATCTGGGGTGTAGAGCACCTGCGACTTGTCCAGCTGGATGCGGGGCTCCGCCAGGACCGAGTTCCCCTTGGGCTCTGGTCGCTCCGCGCCGGCCCACGGAGTTGGCACCGACCGGCGGCGCAGCGGAGAACGCGGAGTCACCGTCTGGCCCGGCGTGCCGACCGGGAGGCGCGGCGGCGTGGCCGCACCCTTGCGGTTAATCTCTGCGCGGGGCGTCGAGTTTGAGTAATAGACCCGGAGGAAAAGGTCTCAACCGACGGGGATCAACGGCTCGGTAAACGCGGACGAGGAAAAGACAACCACGACGGGACACTGGCTCTAATAAGGTGTCGCACTGGCTGGATGGAGATTTAACTTCTGAGGCACTCAGATGATCGGAATGAAATTTGCAGGGGAGATTTAACATGGGGTGTATTGTGCAAACTTTTTCAGCTCTCTAGGACAATTTTACGTACCTGCATAAGATGATTTTCTTCGTTAAATGTGAAATTTAGGTTTGTGCTTCTCCCCATAAACACGACATGAGCAGTCAACTACCACTTACAAGACTGACATAGTCACTGATGGGCACGGTTTTCCCAAAAAATATTTGAGAGGTGAACATCGAAAAGAAGAGGGGGGGGACACTGGGAGGAAGGGGTTCTACTGAAGCACGGATATACTGTGCGCCGAATTTATACACTTTATTGAGCGCACTTCACCCGCAAAGGAATGATGCCAAATGCAGGCATCAGTCTGATAAGCATGGTGCTGCGAGATTCGCTGGACCTGAATGTTCCAAAGCATCATACGTTTCAAAGGCTGCATCTTTTAGTTTATCGTTGACAAAATGTAGAGGTGTCTAGCACATCACAAAGGCAGGCGATCGGTACGGCTAGTGGGTGGCAGAGCCACCACAGCCTGCCATGGGGAAGACTCTGGTGACAGGTTAATATACCAGTAGAGTCTGCTTTCAATGTGACCTTTCTGCTTTTGATAACACTTAATGGCAAACACAGCCAAAGCTTAGCACGAAGCTATGAGTGCATGTTTGCATATGCAAAGAAACAAAATTTTTTTTTAAAGAGTCTAGATGGAAAAAGAATGTCATAAAATGAATTTACAACTAAAGAAATAATTTTGTAGTGCTTTATTTACGTCACAAAACGAATTTGCAGTTGGCGCTTGCAGGAGCCCACAGAAAATGTGGCCGCTATGGTGATGTGATGCTTGCGCTCTTTTGGGTGCTTCTTATGGTCTCTAAAAGTTACTTAATCATCTTTATTTGAAGTGCAACAAAAGAACAAAGCTTATTAAGTAACACTAAGAGCCCAAAGGAATCTTTGAAAGAGTGCAAGCACCCCGTGATAGACCTGTGCGCCGGTCAGAAATTGACGGCAATAGTGTGCTGAAGTGTTTCCTTCCGGTGGCGGCGGCGTGAAGAAACGCATTCAACCGGCGGCGCGCCACGCTGAGTGTGCGGTGGCGGTGTGGGGGTTCTGGGGACCTCAGGGGCAACGCCAAACAACTCCGGCGAAACTTGCGGTGGCGGTGCACGGGTCCACCATGTGATCAGTGGCGACTACCGCGGGCGCCAACTACAAATTCGTTTTGCGCCGTAAATATAGCTCTAAACTTTTTGTTGGTCGTTGTAAGTTAATTTTATGGCATCTTTTTCTTGTCCAAAAAGTCACCTCCTTTTCGCCGGAAAGGAGGCGACTTCCTCTCCACCGTTCGCTCTGCTAATGTGGAAAGAGGTGGGAGGAGTTTCCACTTCGTTCTTGACCTGTCACCGACTATAAGTGAAAATTTGGGAACCGAAGCAATGATTCAGTAAACACTCGGCCGAGAGACGTATTCTAAGTACCACAACAACATGCGTGACAGAGATGAAAAAAGAAAAGAAGTCCTCCAACGCCAACAGACAATTCAGTGAACGCTTGACGTGCCGCCACTCACCATGCTGTTTCGCAGCCGGACTGACGCTCCGCCTCCCTCCTGCCATCGACGGACGTGACGGCGACTTGGACTGCGCGCGGGGGGTGTCCGCCCTCTTTGCGGGGCTCTTGGGCGCTGCGCTCTTAACTGGACCCCGGTCCGAGCTGCTGGCCCTGGCACCGCTTCGGGCCGGCGACTTCTTGACCGGGCTCGGCTTCCTCTTCGGCGACTTTTTGGCCGGGCTCGGCTTGCGGCCGGGCGACTTGGCGGACTTCTTGGGGCGGCCCACTTTGCCCGGGCTCGACTTGCGGCCGGGCGATTTGCTGGACCCCTTGGGGCGACCCCCACGGCCCTGGCTGCGGCTACGGCTGCGGCTCGCTTGCCGCTTGCCGGGTGGAGACGGCTTGGGCGACCGGCCACGGCTCGGGGAGCTCGACTTGTCCCGCACCACGGTGGAGGCGAGTCGGCTGCCGGAGTTGGATCTGGTCGTCCGCCTTCCTTCTGAAGGCTGCGAGGCAAGAGCGGGACAACGCTTTCTACTTTGTTCAACACATTAATAGAGACATCTAAACGACTAACTCAAACTACGAGTCATAATAAAAGAATTTGTATGCAAAGCTGTTAAAATTTTAAGTTTGGTCCGAGAGGCTGAGTAGACTGGCAAGACTAGAAACGCGACATCAGATGTGGGGGCATCACAGCTTGTCCCCGACGGATTACAAGAAGCTTGATGACAGGAAATAAATGCTGGCTAAGCTTACGCCACGTGCCTTGGTATTCCAATACAATGTTTTGATTGAGGTAGCTAAAAAAACGTGGTGCAACGAGGGCTGCCAAAAAACATTGTCACAGATGCTCCGATATGGCTCAACAGATGGCCACTTTAGCGAGGCCTGTCTGCTCACCTGCGTCTTGGTCTTTTTGTCAGGGGCCATGTCAGCTGTGCTCTCTGCGAGGGGAACGAGTCGCCAGTTAGAATCATGGAGGCCGACCGACAGGTGCTGCACCCATGCCGTGCAGCCATTTTGCCAATCACGCTTCGCATCCGACATTGATAACACACTCGGACGCAGCGACAAGGCTCGAAACAATGCGCGGCTATACTTGATGCGACAACGACAGTGGTGGCACTTGTGGGTGCGAGACAGGGGAAGAGATAGCGTGAAAGAGGCTGCAAGAAATGCAACATTCCCCTGACATTCAGTACTGCTTGCCAGCAGCAGGTGGCTCTGCTTTTGAACAAAGACACAACACTTGTCATGTTCGTTATGCAAAGTGCAATCGTAGATGGACGGATGTCAACGGCTTTACCCTTTAAAAAAGGCAATAGGTTTCACCGCCTAGTCTAAAAACCCCACACTCTATTCCTTCGCCCCATTAAGCCAACTTGTACATAGGAGGATTGCCCATATACCGTAATAATATGTGATAATCCCGAAGTTGGTCAAGTTCTAGTGGCATTGTAGCAGCACACTAACAAAAGTCGGTCCAACCCAATAACATATCCAGGATTTTTTTTTATTTCTTTGGGGAGAAGCTAAAAGTTGCTCCCTCTGGCTACGCCACTTGTCCAACCACTGTACAAAAATCTAAATACAGGATGTGTAAAAAAAATTTTTTGACAAGGTATTTTTTATTGCAGAAATAAACTGCATCATCGACCACCCATTCTTCACTCAAATGTAGCACTAGAGGTCACAACCAGATGCCATATTTTCAGCATTTACCGTAATCGTATTCAAAAGTAATAAGTGATTTTCTGAAATTTTAAATGGTAAAATAAAGCTTTATGGCGCCAGTTAAAAAACGGGCGAAAATGGGCCTCATTTTTTCACTAAAAATTTTCGAAAAAAAAAAAAAACAAACATAACTTTTTAATAGGGTAATGTTTAGTGTTTAAACCTTGCTGGTTCGGACCTCAACCACTAAATTTGGGAGGAGAATGAACAATTCAAGCAATTTACTTTTGCGAGTTTTTTTTTTTTTTTTTTTTTTGGGGGGGGGGGGGGGGGGGGGCCGTTTTGTGTTTCATTTATTTATTTATTTATTGATACTGCAATCCCTGAAAGGAATTTTAGCAGGTGGGTATACACTTGATTCACAACATATGCAGGCATACAAAATAGCAAACAAGTCGCAGAAACAGAAGAACGAATATTTTTCAGAGGGACAAAACTAATTTAGAAGGGATTCAAATAAAGACAATGGTGGCTGGTGTACGATAAAAGGGGAGAGGTTTTATATTCATAAGTTTTCGTCAATGATAGTCTCGACAACTCAATTTATATAATTGTACACCTCGTTCGCAAAATACTACGTAAAACTGAAAACAAAACGTCCCAAAACCAGTGGGCATATTGTTGCGCCTCTGAGCGTGAAAACCGTTGGCGGGAATCGGCGCCCCAGACGCCACCATTCCGCTAACGAACGAACAGAATCAAAACAAAGCAAGCGACTAATTTGAAATTCGTCACCGCGCTTTTGTTTACCGGACGATCGGGAGAGCGCAACGCTGGCAGCCCCATCTGACGTTCGCCGACGTTCGCCTGCTCGAATGCGGGGATTAGGCTTAACGGTCTGCGCCGCGTCTGCTCAAAGAAGCCGAACGCGCTTGTGTGGCCCGCACGAGAGTACACCGCTTCCGAAGTAAGCTAAAACATTCGTTTTTGTAAGAACTGTGAAGCAATGCCGAGCTAAGCGTCCGTAAACGTGTCTATAAATACAACGCCATTGTGCTACCAAAACCGAATCGAAGATAAAAAAAAAAAAAAAACGAAGCACGCCGGAAAAAGCGGTATTTTGCCCGGTCACTGAACCACGGGGGGTTACGTTCCTATCTGACCGGAATGCTATCAACGTTGCATTTCACGCATTTAAGCATTGAGAATAGACAAGGCCTTATAAAAAAAAAAACTCGGCTGCAAGCATTTTTTTCAAAAAATGCGCGATAAGGAAGCCAACCCCCCTTCAAGCGCGGGACGCGTAAGAACAAGCGTTCTTCGCCGGACCTTCCGTTAATGCCGCCTTGGATTATATCGGCAGGCAGAAGGATTAGTAACATCCAACTACGGGTGAAGTGCGGGTGAAGTTGTAGCGATAAGAACGAAGTCGAAGCGATGGATGCATCTGTCGGTACCCTCCATGACGCACAGCTCCCGAGTCTCCTCAAAACCGCGCGCAATGTTCTTAAAGTTCTCACTAAGACTTTGTCGCTGACAACGCCCAAACATATTGAGGATGTTTACGCACATTTCGAGTTCACAATCATGGCGTAAATCATTTGGAAAAAAGGGTATAAACATTGGAGCGTGGACATACCCGTTTCAAACGAATGGTCCCAACCGACGCCTTGTCAACGCTGAAGATGGTACCGCACGCCATTGGCTGCTGGAACGCAAGATGACGTTTGATTGGGTCAGACCCGTGAGTTGTTTAAAACAGCCTATTCTATTGGATGGAAATTAGTGACGTCAGATTATTTTTTAGCGGCTGTTTTATATTTCTTTTGTTTTGGCACCCGCCATTCCGCCGCTCTAAACATTGTGAGAGAAAACATCCATCCACATATTGTATTCGAGTGAAAATAAAAAGATTACCAAAACTTTTACTCTCACTTTCTCTTGTGCTAGAAAAAAAAAAAAGAAAAATGAGGACCAGACGACTTGAACATAGAGCAACGGAAGTATCCAAGTCAATCCAATGTCTGGCGCGCGCTGACATTTGTTCGGTAAAAAAGGTAGAGGTCTGTAGTGGTCCGGTATTCCGTCTATTTGCTCAAGAAATTGTTGAAGACTTGAGCTTGTTAACGTAATTTTACTTGCCAAGAGCATGGCCGACGAGAGCGGCGTCTTCAAACTACCCGAAACCCCCGGAGCATATTCCGTGTCCGACGTCAACAGAACTATTCTTCTGGCCAGTCTGGAGGTGCTGGGTTTTCCGGAGCGACCAAGCCTCAAGGGTAAAGAAGCTGCGAGTGAGGCCAGAAACGTACTGCACTACCTCTTCACGAGATTCGACAAGGCGAAAGCGCTGTCGAGTTTTCGTTCGTGCTGGCCTGTGGACGTCGGCACATCCGACAAGCTGTTCCGGGACGTTGCGACCGCCTGGATTCAAACGCTCAAGGCGAGTTCGAACGCCGGCTCCTACTTTGACAACTTCGCGCCTCAGATCCTTCTGTACCCGAGACACGCGCAGCACATGGCATTCCTCGCCGACTTCTCCACCTTTGTGCTCTACCGCTGGCTGAGTGAGCGAGCTGTCATCGAACTGCCTCCCTCGGCAGACACGGCCACCCTCTCAGCCGCTTCCGCAAAGATTGCCGCCGCCAACGCCACACTGCAGTCGAAGCTTGCGGCAGTGAGGAAAGACGAAGAGGTTTTCCTCGGGGAACAAGAAAAGCTCGCATCGGCCCTCACGAGGAAAAACGAGCTGCTCCGTCAACAGGCCCGCTCCTTCGGCAACCTCGAAGAAGCCGAAGCGTTGCACGCGAAGCTGGCAGGCCACGTCTCAGCTCTGCAACGCCTCCCTACTGTGATAGGCCAGCTGACGACGGCGATAGTTTTGGCTTCGGCCCAGGAGTTCGACGGCTCGAGGTACACCGCCGGTGACGATTGTGCGATGCCATTGAACATCACGAGCCTTCTGGAGGACCTCAAGCAGAAAGCCGAGACGCTAAGTAACAGGCTGGGGCAAGTCGATTGGAACAAGGTGCGGCACAACATTGCAGCGGCCACGAAGCGTCTGGAAGGGCTGAGGGAACGCTTGGACAGCGCCCGGTCCTGCAGGGAGCGTCTGGAGCTGCTACAGGCACAGTATGGAGAGCGGGCTGCCGCGGCGACTGCGCTGATACTCGAGGGGCAGCCACCGTTTCGAGTGCGGCTTCCCGACGGCGCGGTACTTCACCCTCCCGACGATGATCTGGGGCAGGCGTCGGGAGTTCACCCGTTGACGGAGCAGGAGGTGGAAGAAACCCTCGCCTTGATACTCCAAGACATCCTCAGGGACCAAGAGAAATGAGGCCTGCTCTTGGCCTGGTGCTTTTCCTGTTTCCTTTTTAGCGAGTAGTGTTTCTACAGCGTTTCCCCCCCGGGTAAATGTTTTATTTTTGTTTATCTAAAAATAAATTATGCATCGCCTTTGTCAAGGTAATGGTTAGTTCCGAAACTTTAATGGCATGTGGTTGGGACCGTTAGCGCTACATTTGGGTGGAGAATGAGCATTCGGCGCAATACGCAGTTCAGTTTTGCGGTAAAACCCTTTCATATATACATATATACTTTCTGAACTCTCTGTACTTCTCTTGTTTCTTCCCGTCGTTAACATTTGTATCATTTGTTGTTTCTTCTGCCAATTAAAAGCAATCTTAAACCAGCTCGCCTCCACCCTCGTTTTAGTTTATTTTTTCCTTGCTTTTTTTATGCCTTCGGTTTCGAAGCTCAGAGAAAGTGCCTAGACAGACACAAAGCTGGGTGAAAAATACAAGGCACAGTCGCACAGGGGCGTAATGAAAAAGACAAAAACATGACAGAAGCCATCTAATCGGAGCGCCAAGCCATATTTCCATAAACCCTGTTTGCCATATTCAAACTTTTTCTTTTTTTGATAAGGCTACGTGCTGCGTTACGCAATCTGCATTTCTTCCTAATCTCAAATGCCTCGTGTACTTCTCCGGACCTTGGCAAAATGTTTATGTGAAAGTTGAAACGCTCAAGCACATGGGGGCATCTATTACAATGAATAGCAAGGTGGCCGTACCGGCTCGCTCACGTGGTCGCCGCATCCGTTTACACACCTTGGCTTTAGTCAACGAGATGAATTCGAACAAGAATCCCCTGGCGCATGCAGCGCATTTCTTCTGGACCACCTGAGGCCACGCGAGCGAGCCCGTCTGGGCATCTTGCTATTCATTGAAGGCATCGAGATTGTGGCAAGGCACAAAGACAAATTCCAGGGAAGCAGACGAGGACAATTTTCTGTAGCTTTGCAATCAAAGCTTATGGGCACACGGGCGCTTGTTCATCTGAGCAATGGCTTCAGCATGACAGTTTGTTCAACGCACTTCCATAAGACAGACTATACGTATCTGCTGTCAGTTCGAAGGCAAATAAAGAAACGCTTACAGCATTTTTAGGCGCATCTGTGTGCCGATCGTGAGGTGTGGTTAGAATGGACAGTTTTGGTGGGACGGGTCGCGACAATGTGAATAACCGGTATACAGGTGTAGTAAACTGTATATTTGAATATTTGTTTTGGCAAAGCAATAAATAAAAACCCTTAAAACTGCCGATGGCGTCCTCTCCTCATCCTCATCTTCCCCCTCCTCCTCCTCTTCTCCTGCCGCTGAATTTGTTCACGGGTGACGTGACACGAAGTCGAGGCTCTAAATTTAGCGGGGAGGTCACGTGACGTCAATTTCCCCGCTAAATTTAGCAGGGAAACTTAAAGTTAGCAGAAAAATTTTTGCGCTAAATTTAGCAGGAAAATTTCCCCGCTAACTTTATAATAGAAACATCCCATAATGCAGCGCGCAGTTATGCCTACGCCGCTTAACTCGGAAGCGGGCTCCTAAGAGCTGTGCTATAAAAAGTACACCGGGTGCAAGTTACTTAAAGTGAAGTACTATGTTTTTTTTTGTTTTTTTTTTTTAAAAGTAAAGTACACATGTTTTTAAACATAATCTTTCATGATGCCCTTTCATTCGCCTATAGAGTTTTTTTGTTTTTTTTAACTGGTATGCATTGTTTGCTTTCGTGTTTGGTGAGGTAGAACATACTTGGAAGTCGGAAGTTGTACTTTCATCTGAAAGTACCAGCAAAAATACTTCGAGTAAAGTACAGATACATACATACCCAGAGAATGTGCTTCAAGTAAAGAATAATTTTTCTAAATCCACTCAACACTGGTTAGTCAGGAGGAGCACTTGTGGAATTTCAGTCCCCCACCCCCTCCCCTCCCTCCACACCCCAATCGTCATGGACATCACACCTACCACCACAGCTCAGTTGCTCCCAGTAATGCAGCAGGGTTGAAAGCTTGGCTAGTTGATGGTGATTCATGATGAAATAAAAAGCACACAAAAAACCAGGACAAAAAATGAAAGCCGTTTACAACTCCCTGTAACGCCGAATTAGAGCGCAGCTCTTGAGGAGGAGGAGGGAAGGGTACTAAGGGGAGGGTAAACCCCTCCTCCCTCCTCATTCTCCCTGCTACTTCTCCCTACTCTTCCTTCTTCTCCTCCCTTCCTTCTCCTCCACCGGCTCCCCTCATTCATTAACCTCCGCCCCTCCTCCTTGCCGCTCCTCCTCCTCCCTCTTTCTCCCCCTCCTCCATTCTTCACCCCCTTCTCCATCCCGACGGCGACGCGTTCAAGCAGGCCCGTAACAAACCGTGAAGACTTGGATCCGCAACGGGGTCCGGAAGTGATTACGTCAGTACGGGTTCCGGCTCCCGGATTCTGTGTTTCGAGTTTGTTTGAACCGCGCTTTACACCGATGCGTCACGCCGCTCAAGCCGTAAACGGCAGTGCTGAGAAATACTTTAAGTACATTGTGCTTAAAGTACTACTTCAAGTAGGTTTAGGAAACTTGTACTTTACTTGAAGTACATTCTCTGAGTCTTGTACATTTTTTTCTGGTACTTTTGAAGGAAAGTACAATTCCCAACTTCAAAGTACACTACCCAAGTTTTATTTTTGTTAAATTTGTATCACGAAATGATGCTTTGTCAACTTCGAAGAAATACCGGGAGGGATATTCTACTCTCACGAGAAACGTGAGCAGACGACGCATTGCTCTGTTTGTTCTGGGGGTAGCTAAATTTCCCGTAGCTTTTTTTAACTCTGGCTACTTCTCAGTCGGTCAGAGAAAGCAAGGAGGTTTAAAATATTAGGAGAGAAAAAATTAATCAAAATGTAGCACCCGAGACTGTGGTGCGGAAAAATTAAACGTTCAAGTCGAAGAAAAAGACAACAGAGGAGAACGTCCCAATGTTTTGAGACATTCTCTTTTGCCTTTTCCTTCGACTTGAAAGTTCCTTCATTTTTTCGCACCCCAATTTTACGTGTCACATTATGATTAATTATCACCAGCCCGCTTGCACACTCACTGGACACTCCTCTATGAGAGGATTGCTTGCGGAAGCTACGGGGCTGACGCCATGCCTTCTCATAGGTACATTTAACCGCATTGGGTGCAACAACCCAGCGCAAGGGGCGCCAGACTCAGAAGAGGAACTTCTGAATTTGGCTCCATTCCTGAAAATAACTACTCTGTGGCCACTTGATTTTATCAAATATTCACTGCTGTTTTTTTGAAAATAGGTCATGCACCCCTGATTACCGCTGGACAATGCATACCAGTTAAAAAAATCACTGTATAGGGGAATGAAAGGACATCGTAAAAAGTTGTGTTAAAATACTTGTACTTTACTTTGAAAGTACATTGCATTTATAATACTTTAGTTCAAGTACGTTGTACCTGCAGTGTACTTACTACTTTACTTGAAGTACATCATGTCTCATTTACTTAGTACTTTACTTGAAGTACCTTTAAGATGTACTTTACCCAACACTGGTAAACGGGCGCCAGAGCTGCGCTCTAAAAAGGGGACATGTACGACAGACAAGCGCTTGCCTGTCGTACGTGTCCTCTTTCTGTCCCGGTTTATTGTGTGTGTATTTTATTAAGGCAAAAGCCTTGCCAGCCTCATTACGCGAAAAGGCGTCGGCGTTGTGCCAGAAAAATTCGTTATAAAAAATGATGGCCGTTTACAACTCCCTGTAACGCCGAATTAGAGCGCAGCTCTTGAGGAGGAGGGTGGAAGGGTACTGAGGGGAGGGTATACCCCTTTTCACGGGGTGACTTCCCGTGACCTCCGTGACGTCACGGGGGTCACGTTATTTCGGAGGGTGTGGGGTCACGTGACCTCATGGTTACGCCAGGTTACGCCGACGGCAACGGAGACGGCGACGCCGCTCAAGCCGGAATGGCCCTTCGTTGAACACCGCATTGCCTGCATTATTTCGGAAACTTCAGAAATGCACCAAGCTTTCGGTGCACTCGCTCGCCTTCTTTTTTCTTCCAAGAACTTTTCATTCCTAGACTAAGCGGTAAACAAAAATCACGGAAGTAGACATTTTGCGCCTTTTGTGACACCAAGAGAGCGCAAGAAAGCTCAGAACGAGCTGCCACCCGCTAGTGGCGCAAGCTGCCGCCCAATTCCAGAGACTCAGCTGGACTTATTTATCCGTTCAGTAACGTTGGCTTTCCGTCCAAGGCAGTCTCCATTGGTCTCCATTTGACTGTATATCCATTCATTAATTATCGCCAAGATCGCCAACGTCGGCCGACCCTTTTCCCTCGATACGGCCTGGCAGGCATAAAATTGTGCGGCATGTGTAGCTGTATCTCGGTTCCGACTTTCGCTGATTTAAAACTTGGAGTTAATTTACGAAGCGAGGAATATTTACGAAACGCGTTCGCGCCCTTACGTGTGTTCTGTGTCATTCAACGAAACGAACAGCCTCACGTGGATATCGTTTTCTCGTTGTAGCAAAACAAGAGAGGCATACGAGAGTTCGTGACGTTGACACGGCCACTTTGACCATATACCACGATTTCGTACAACTCGGACGTCCATAAAGAGAAGAGAAGATCCTATCAAGAACCTATCATACCAAAGGTAAGCTCCAACTCCTCATCTATCCAAGCAAAAGGCATCTCAAAAGTAACCAGATTCCAAGTTGCGTGGTTTGCTCATCTTTTTGGACGCCAGACACTTCGACGAGCTTTGAAACCGTGGATCTGAGCTGGACCATTAGTCTGGGTTCGAATTTCGGTAGAGCTACTTTTATTTTTAGTGTCAAACAATGAATCTAAACTGCTCTTTTATGTAATCAGATTCTTCGATCGGTTGCGGGCTGTTGGATTTAGGTTAATCGGAGGGAAAAGATTCGTAACAGCTGCCAAAAAAAACCCGCCCACTCTCCAGCGCGCTTGTTCCGTATTTGGGGTATTTGGGGAGTGTTCGCTCAGAATTTTTTCGCTCGCGTGGATAAGTTTGAAAGTGTTGAGTGTGATCCTCCCGAGTCATGCAAGCTTAGTTCGACATTTGGGAAGAACAACAAATAATAAAATAAAAAGGAGTCTGAAGGAAAAGCGTACCTTTTTGCTTCGCACGTGGCTGGCGCCTTCGACTAAAATCTCAGTTGAGGGCTCCGTTGCTCTTTACGTATAGTTAAATTGGTTTCGGTGTGCCATGCTGCTAGCAATTTTGTTGTTGTTAATCAAAATAAGACGCTTTGTTGTAATTTCATGTTTTTTGCCGTGTCCGTTTTGAGGCGATAAGAAAGGGTAAGAAAAATGAAAACATTGGCGGCTACGACAGTCCTGTCTGTGTTAAAGCAAGGAAAGTATTTGTTTATTTTATTTTGTTCGCCAGTCTCGGGTTTTACGAAAGTTGAAAGTTTGCCAGTGCCTCTGTCTTTTGAAATAATTCTACCCTCATGTGTGGATATATGGTATGTTCTGTTTATTCATATTGCATTAGGCAAGTGTTTCATCAGACATTTAAAACTTGAAATTTGCTTTGTGATCGTCGCCTATGTAAGTGGGCAGAGTGCAGCAAAGAAAGGCGTGAGACAACAAAAGTTTTATTCTTTCGTAGATGACTACAGGAACATATGAAGCGACATCATGGTTCTTGTGGTTTTGTTGTTTGCGTTTATCTTTTCTTCCGGTAATAGGATATTATGAATGTCGAGTTGGCTCAACCTATCGTACCAGTACGGTCGAGTGAGAGTGTCAGTGTTGTTCACCCCATCGAAGATACGTCAGTGTTCCGGCCCCCTCCGCAAAGGACCATATTCATCTGCAGAGTCGTTAAAATCTGCAAAAATTTGTGCATCCTTTTTAATTCAGCTTTAGTTCAGCATGTTGCGAGCACCATCCATCTGAGAGAAACCAAAGAGAAATGAGTGGTGGCTCAAGGCATAGATCCAGACGTGCCTGCTGGTATAGACCCGCTGCTCTGAGGCAGGGGGCGCGAGCGCTTCCGGAATACTTACCCAAGACACGACCCTGTTATGCTGGCTGCACCATCCAGGTGGCTCTGTAACGTTCAATTTTGCACGTGCCACGTTCGAATACATGCATCTGTCAGCATTTGTAGGTGCGCGATTTGTAGATGCGCGGTCAGCATTTGTAGATGCGTTTTAGACAACACATCTAAAAAAGCCCAAAAAAAAAAAATATATATATATATATGCAGCTTGCAGCCGTAGCGTTCCATTAAACATTTCTTTCATCTTTGCATTCTTTCATAGCTTCTGCGAGCACGTATATTTCACTTTACGTGATAGCGAAACCGAAGCTACTCACAAACGCACATACTCCTGAATGATGCTCGCACTGCACGAGCGCGCGTGCTTGACAGGGACGCTGAAAGCTTGCAGCTCGCTTCTGTAGCCTCTGCTACGCTGGCACTTAGAGTGGAACGGAGCGTAAATAACTGTAGTGGGGAAGCGTATTGACCCATGTTCCAAACGCGGTCCAAATATTCTATTTCGCTCGCCTGGAGCGTGTAGTGATTAAAGCTCGTCGCCAAGATGTTATGGTCGCGTGGGGCCATTACGGGTGGGTGGTAAGAGACAGGGAAAGCTAGGATAAAGACAGCGCCCCGAAAGGCCTGTAAAGATGCTGGACAGGCTTACATTGCCGTGGCGCGTGGGACGCGAGATGGTCGGTGGCCGGGGACCAAGCGGGCACACCGGTAAAGGAAGACACGACACGCCAGCTCGGAGTTTCGATCAAGACTGCTTGTATTTACAATATCTACATCAATCAGCGTGTGCCGCTGTCAAGCACGCGGCACGCGGCACCATTTCAAATGCAGCTGAAAACGCCATCTGGATTATTTACAGCACACTACAGAGCGCTGCTCAAAACTTGAGTGCTACGGGCCTATAGGTTACTTTCTGGACAGTTTTCATATTCCTCTATTTTACGGGATCAGTTAGGCCAGAACGGGAAAAGCCTGAGTCATGCCAACAATCCCTTCGTTGGAGCCATTCCAATGCCGCAAGTGTCACATGATCTTTCAAGAGGGGTGCAGTGACGTGAAGTGCGCATAGTCACGTGATACGTTTACAGTGCGGTTGGCTGCGTGATACATCGGTGTTCTGGTTGGCTGGCGTCCGTAACGTCCGCTACGGTTCATTGTAAGGTAAAATTGAGTATAAAAAAAAAAATGAGAGAAAAAAGCCTTTGTTTTTTTTCTAGGTCCAGGTCACATTTGCTATTTGCAACTTTCACTGCCCACATAGGGAGTGCACTTGGTAGTTTCTATCGAAACAACTGTCATCTGGATGATTGTCGTAGAACAGCAGGACGAGGTTGGGTCTGCAACGCGTAAGAAGTTATAATTTTGTGAAATATGAGCGATACAAGAGCCTGCCTCATGCTTGCACATCCGAAAGGTGTATGGAAGCACCTTCATTTTGCAGCCAATCATCCATGAGCTAGGGATTGCAATTCTCACACCAACGTTCCACCATTGCTATTGCAAATGAAGACCCGTACACAGTGGGAAGGCTTCCCCTCTGTGGCATCTTACATCTCCGCCCTAGAGGAGAAATTTGGCGAGTGCGGTACGACTGCAAAATTGGGCTCCTTGACGCATATCTCGCAGTAGCTATTACACAAATACGTGCCATTACAGTACAGGGCCTGGAACGTGTCTCTGACTGGTCACAGGTGCGCTTAGTATCCTACTCCGCCCATGCGTCAAAGTGTTTCTAAAGTGGCAAGAAACGACTTCGCAAAAGCCGAAGTGTTGTGTCGTTGAATATCGCACTCCTGGTGGTTGAGTGTGGAAGTTCTGGGAAAAAGTATGAAAGAATGCGAGCGCCGCCGTTGTTGCGGGGTCCCAACTCTTGGCTGCCGAAGCTTTCGTGGACTTGAAGCTGGAGAGCAGCGGCAGTGACCTGCTGCAGAACGGGCGTCCGGCACATCCACCACTGCTGCTGGGAAATCGCCAGGACCGCGGCTGGCAATGGCACAACACCTCTATGACGTCGTAAGGCAGAAACCGTGGGACCACTTCTTTGGATGCGATAAACACGCCAGTCGTAAACTCGTTCCGGGCACGTAGTGCCTAACAATACTGAAACCGGCAGTGTCCGCAGCACATGGACCAAGTTGGCTGTCGAACTGCCGTAAATGACGCTTCCCCGCGCCATCTTACGCAGGGGGCACGGCGGTGCCATGTCGTCGACCAAGGCATGCCAGCACTGCGGGTGCAGCGAGATCGACACCGACCCGGCCAGGGGCGATGCCGTCTGCACCAACTGCGGCTCGGTGCTCGAGGACAGCATCATTGTCTCGGAGATACAGTTCGAGGAGAATGCCCACGGCGGGTCCCGGGCCATCGGACAGCTCATCAGCGCAGACGGTGAGGCCCTGCGCCACTGTTGCCGACCCACAACTTGACGCGGAACGTTTCTTGAATGAACCTTTCTCAGAAGTGTGCGCCACCCAGTAGCTGCTGCACCAATTATCCGAGTGCGTCATTGCTCGGGCACATACGGCGTGTCTTCCCCAAAAAATTTACAGCGTTTTTTTGTACCGCAGAAACAAACTATGCGTCGCCAAGCGCTGGTGGTCTGAACCAGATGCCAAAGTTTTGGAACTAACCATTATCTTGTTCAAAAGTTATAAGTGATTTTATAAAAGTCTAAATGGGAAAATGGGGCTTATTCTTGGTAACTAACATCATTCAGCTTCACATATTTGAGGACTAGATCGGCTGCAATTTTCCCATAGGAAATTTCGGATAATCTCGCGCTGCTTTTGAACCTCAGCACCAGCTGAGGTTCTGAAACCTCAGCAGTTGGATCGGACTGCTAGTGACACGTTTTGGCAGAGGCTGGGCGTTAGGCCATGCATAGTTAATTTTTGTGGTAATGATGAAACCCTGTAAATTATTTGGGGGGGGGGGGGGGGGGGGGGGGGGCACACCCTGTACTTTGAGCATACGTAATTGGACAAGAAGGCTACATTGGCGTTCAGCTTGTATCGAAAACGAGTGCTGTGTGGACGTTTGGCAAAGACTCGGATCCGATCCTGCGCTTCGCACCCGATAATGGTGACCGCCAATGCTGCTTGATGGGGTTTCGAAAAGTGTCTAATTTGCACAACTGTACTCAATTCACCACTTGGGTGACTGCGCAGTGGAAGCTATGGCCTTGCCAGACCAATCAAAATACCTCCCTTTTAACCGCACCGTCAGCTTAAGGGTCAACGGGGTATCATATTTTCCTAACTATGCATATTTAGGAGTTAAAATGTTTTGCGGTGACACTATACATGCGCAGACCACCGCAGAAGCGCCAACTATTAACATTTTACAAACTTGGGAGTTCTGCAAATTATACGTTATTGACCCGATTTTACCGGACAAGCGCTCATGTCTACATTACCCCAGTTTCCGATGAAAATGGGGTGGGCACTCCCCCGGTATTTTACCGTACAAGGATTTGTTTTTTCTAGATTGCTCATTATAATGAGACTCGACAGATATTGCAAACGAGAGTATGTTGACTACGATTTTTGTGCGCTACGAGCATTCTTTGTGAGCTAATAAAGTGGACGTTTGTTGAGCTGTGCTTTGTGTGAGAAGTTTTTATGTGCGAGCTAGCTAGGCATCGGGCATGGACTAGCACCGGGCGGGACCCTCCAAGAAAAAACTTTTCTTTTCGACCGAAATTTGCCTCTCCGAACTTTTTACATATGCAAATGTCCTTTTTCTTGAGTGTTCCACTGATTTTTACTATATGTATCGCATTATGTGCATCAAGCGCTTCCTTGCCCACTTTTCTTTCTTCTCGCAATAATTAATATTGACGCATCTCCCCGTACAATGCCCGGGCACTTTGAGGTGTATTAAATACATAAATAATAATAATAAAAAAAAAAAAAAAAAAAAACTAAGTATGGACTGCGGTTCGGAAAATACGGCGCAGTGCGTGCAGGCACCGGTAGCGGCCACCGACGACAGAAAAGCACGGTCGCGGGGACCACGATTTGCACCCTCGTAACGCACATGCCGGCCATCCCGAAGCGGGCCGTCCGAACGGGTGTCGGAGTCTGCCCTAAAACTTGGCTGCACATCTTCTTCCAGGAACATCTGGCAGGAGCTTGGGAGGCTTCCAGCACGGGTCCGGAAAGGAGTCCCGGGCGCTGACCCTGCAGAAAGGTACGGCTAGCTTTCCTTCCTTTCTGCGGCGCCCGAGGCACCGTGAGGCGCCAGCTCCGTCGGGCCAAAGGCACACAGGAAGTAACGGCTCCCGTTTAGCCGCAGTCGCGTTGCATCGTACAGGAGACAGTCTGAAGACGCTGTCCGAGGCCTTCCTTGTACGACGGTCCTGTCAAATCGGCCGTACAAAAACTCTCTGCAGACGTGGGTATGAAGCAAGCAGTAGGCATGCCCACTGATAGTTCACGTCCGTGGCAAACACCGTGACTTTTGTAGGATGTATAAGTATCGTGCGACTGCGGCTTTAGGGCTTCTACGATGAGTGCACGTTTTTTCTCGGTGAAAAGAGTGGACAGTCTCGGAAGAGGGGGAGTTGGATGCGTGACTTTGAACTTCGAGTCTCGGGACGAATTAAGCTTGGCGTGCTTCTCTATTGTCGCTTGGCTCGAAGTTGTTGTCCGGTACTGTGCCAGCCTGTTGAGACGTTTCTCCTCTTTGAGCGGGGAGTGGCATTTTTTGTTTTGCCGCACATTGTCGGAGAGGATGACCCTTCTCTAAATGATTGAAAGCCCGTTGAACCCATTTAAAAACTTCAACGACGTCTTAGGCAATAGTGCGACGGAAAGGGTTCGACATGGTGGAGCACTGACTAGGGACAGCCACTCTCTTCCCCTTCCTTTGTTTTCCACTCTCGGGTTCAAGTTTGTCAAACGGCTTCTGACATTCCCAGGAAGTCAAGTTGTTTTCTTGGCTTTTGTAAAGCGAAACAGTGAGGTGTCGAGATACCACCACAGTCGCACATTTTTTTAGAATATGACTGAAGTTATGGTGAAACGACTACTTGTTTGAGCTGAGCTTTCCTTTAAAGGGAAGCTACGGAGCTTCTTGGAAAAAATGAGTTAGAAGTGAATTCTAGTGTATTTTTACCCCGTGAACCCGAATACCCAAACCATTTGCTGCGTAAGTATTGTTAAAAGCGAGAAAAACGCGAAAGACAGTCGCTGTCCGTGACGTCATCGACGGCTCTTTTGGCTGCCCAAGGCTAGGGGGGCGGGGCTTCAGCCCTATTTTGAAATTGCTCTTGTGGCTCTCCGGCGCGTCGCATTGAAATATAATTTTGATATCTGTTATTATAAAAGCCAAATGAACGCAATTCAAGCGTTTTTTCTCAAATGTAGAAGTGCCCCATCTTCCCTTTAAATCGGTATATTTTTGGTGATCCTAAGAGTAAATGTCTAATGGATTTCAATATTTTTATTAATGTAGATTTGCCTCAGATAAATTACTTCTTGTGAGTCGTAGCGAGTTCTATAAGCTGCTCGTGCGTGACTCGGAAAATAAGTGGGAACCCCGAACAGCCAGAGTTTGACGTGCAAAATAAATCTCTATTTCGAACAAGAATTTGTTTTTTATAGGTGCATCAAAGAGCATTTCTAAAATTTTAGCATGCATAAGTTCAGGCATAAAAGAGATTTAGATAAATAAATCATTGGGAACTGAGAGCAGTCAAACTTTCAGAAAGGTGCCTGTAAGCGGTGCATTAATCATACTAAAATTTTTTGAGTGGAAGTTTCAGAAAAAAATATTTAAGACTAAAAAAAATTTTGTTTTGTTTACATGTTCAGGGAGGAAAACAGCAAAAACCGTCCGATTGATGCTGCTACTTTCAGGTGGCACAACATAGAGCGAAAACACAAAAGCTTCTTTGAGATGAATACCTGAAAGCAGATCCAGAAGATCCTAGCGTGTGCTGTACAATCTTGGAGTAGCAGCGTCGACACCTCTGTGAAACGCTTAGTCTGTCCGCATGCCCAACAAGTCTGTCTGCGTGCCCGACATTGCGGACAAGTTGCAAACGTGTGCGGACGCCGTTGCAGCACGGCGCAAGATCGTGCAGGTGGCAGAGCGGCTGAGGCTGAACCAGCACTGCATCGACACGGCGTTCAACTTCTACAAGATGGCGCTGACGCGGCACCTGACCAGGGGCCGGCGCCACTCGCACGTCGTCGCCGCCTGCATCTACATGGTGTGCCGCATCGAGGGCACTCCGCGTATCCTTTCCCACGCGCGGCGCCCGTCGCCGCTGCGGCAATTCGCCGGTGCGGCAATTCGCCGCCTACGCCCACACGCGTTCCCGGTGCGCACCAGATAGTCTTGGCTGGAACTAGATCCACTCGGTAAGCCACGCCTATAGTGTCGGCGTTCCCCGTTTGTCTCGTCGGTGCTGCCATTTTGTTGCCTTGTGTGGAGTGGGTGCAACCTACCAGTTTAGTATTCCGAGAATGAAACAGCGTGTGGAATCGGGAAGGAGAGAGAGGAAGCGTTTTAGAACGAACTTGGAAGTAAAAGGATGAGTCACAATATGAACAAGAAAGACTTTGGGGGAGCCCAACATAGGTCGCTGCAGCTCTGTAGAGCCAGCAGGGTGGTGCTTCCTCAATCGAGGGAGTGTCCACACTCGCTCAAGCACGTGCTCGTGTATTCTCTTACCAGAACCTCCTAAACCAGTAATTTGCTAAAATGGTTCCTTGGTGGAAGTTAGATTGAAAAATATGACTCCCCAACCTTCAGATGGGATGTCGGGGAGTTTGGCGATATTGTTTTGCTCTGTTGCAGACTGTTTAGATGTTTCTAGAGGGTGGAAAATTGTTTCCTGTAACATCAGGGAAAGTCTCTGAAAACTGGCAACGATGCTTCTAAGCTACAAGGTGGCTGAAGTGCCCTTACCTTGAAGCATAGGTTATGCAGTGGCTCTAGCTGGGACTGTGCCCAATGCTCTCCCAGTTCCGAGTTTGGGCTGGTGACGATAAGATTTCATTGTCTGCAGGCAAACGTGCTTGTGCCACCCATAAGCTCGAACCACAGGCCCTCCTTGCACTATGGAAGCTTGGCACCATACCTTTGTCTTTCGATGGGAATTGGAAGTGCCCAAAGGAGCTGTGCAACAATTTTAACGTTGAAAAAATTGGCATATTCTATTTTTGACATTGTTCATCTTGTCACAAAGGACAGAAAACACACTTCCTTCCGCCGAAACTTTGCGATTCCGCCGCATAATTGCGAGGCAAAAATGAAAATATTCCTTTTGCAGCCGCGAGCGGCGGCCATGAGAAACACGCGACATGACGTCAATGGGGGTCTTGTAGAAAGATAGAAAGTTGTGCGAATACCTGCTCGATAAAAGGTAACCTTTCTATAAATCTTGTCGTTCCAACATAAATATAAATGCGTCAGAAACCTGGTATCATCGGCAAAACTTGTATTATACGGAGTTTTAGTGGAGCCATCTATCCTAGGTCCAGAAAACTGTCAGCTCTATCTGCTACCGCGAACAGCCGACAGAATTTGGAGGGGGACGGGGGCAGAGCCAGACGGGGATGGCCGAACCCCGGATAAGACTTTCCTCCTTTCACCATATTGTTTGCACTGCGCCAGAACGTAGTCAAACAGTCGCGAGCAGATGAGTTCCTGCTGCTCACTGATGGCTCTAAAGAGAGAACTTCACCGGAACCCCGCGCGACCCCCATTGACGTCGCAGCGCACGTGACTCGGAAGATGGTGAAGGAGTTGAGAGCTGCCGAAAACCTCAATTTAAAATAAAAACTAGGACATGCAGGCAAAAGCAGTTTTTTGTTCTTTACTTCTGAAAGTTCGAGGCACCAACTCCCAAATTATTTTAGCAAAGCACTAAAATTGTTGCGCAGCTCCTTTAAGGGTACGGAAAAAAAATGTTTGCACTTATTTCTTTGTTTAGATGTGGTCTATGTTGTGTCGACAGCCAGAAACACTATCCTAGGCTAGCGTTTCTGGGCTACTGGCAGAGAAGTCAAGAAAACATGCTTTAAAACGAATGAACATATTTCAAAATTGCGTCTGGTGGCAGTCTGGGAAGCTCGGCTGAAATGTTGCCACGTCATGAGTTTCTGAGAAGCAGCGCGGGTTCGCTGCAGTATGGCTCGCGCATGGAGTTACTTTGTCCTGAATGGTGATTTGGCGGAGAATGCTAACGCATTTATTAGGTTATACATGTTAAAGCTTCCTCAGTGCTTCAGCAACGTGCATTCCACGCCATCATCTTTGCAAATGTTAGGTAGGAGCTTGATTTGAGGATGCAGGCACCTCTTCCAAGCCAACCATACCACTACCCCCCCCCCCCTGCCCAAGATGCAGCGTACTCCAATATGACACCCAGTGAATACTTGATGTACACTGCTTGCAGGTGTCGCCATTGCTGGGTACCGACGGTTCCTTCTAGTTACTGGATTGCTCGAGCGGCGGTGTGAAACTAAACACAGTGGACCGAACGCTCGTGGCACATAAAATACCGGCATGGCCGTGAATGACGTTATGGGCAAGCTATGTGTAGGCCATAGGACTTTGGCCGTGCAGGAGCCATTGATGTCACGAGCACGATACGCATTGCGTTGCTCGCCGGCAGACTTTGAAGCGAGGAGTAAAGAGCTTGCGCTCGCATCATGTCGTTTCCCGTCCCCCTTTAAGTCTCCTACCAGTTGAGGGGGTTTTCTCTTGAAGTTACTTCGAGGAAAGGGGGGGGGGGGGGGGGGGGGGTTAGTTAGTTGTACCATGGCCTCCTGTATACTCTGTGTTTTTCAAAGTGCACCCAACGGGTGTTCATCTACCTCCCTTCCTTCCTTTGCTGTCCTCCTCTCCCGTCAGCTCTGGGGATAATTGATTGCTGGTACACTGGCTCTCACCTTTTGGATTTAAGGCATTGGTGTGCTTGCAGTGTCGTGCGTCTGCACATTGCTCGTCCTTCTGTCAGTTTGCCTAGCGTTGCCATGTTGCTGTTGTCTTCGTGACTCTTCGATGGTCGCCAACAACCTCTGCAAACGCTAATATGTTTGCCTGGATGTGCATGGTGCAAAATTATTTCTAAAACATAATCACTTGTATATCGCCTCTACGATTGTAGAGAGCCTGTAAATGTATTAAAACATATAGGTCTAGGTCTTGTCATTTGAAGAGACCTGCCTTATAGGCTGTCCTCTGACCATATTTTTTTTTGTTAAAGTATATTGCAGTTTAAACTTACAACATTGCAATTTGTGCACTAGGATACACGCAATCGCAAGAACTTCCAACCCGCTACGCCCGATTGCCGATTTTTGCAACACGTTTCCGAGATATTGTTGGCGCCGAAATAGAACAAAATTGTATTCGCGACTCCAGCAAAACGGACGCCGCCAAGCGGGAAAACAGGGAACCAGTCGGTCCAGGTCGCTCCGCGCCCCGCCGCGTCTCTGGTGGCTTTCGCGGACACGTGCGGTCGCCCTGTCGGCGCGGGGACGAGCAAAGTAATTTGACGAAGGTCCGAAAATTTCTTAAGTTTGCCTCAGTGTTCATTAGTGTGGTGAAGCCTCAGTAGATTGTTGCTTTCCATCACGTGTTTGAAAGCCCGTTTACTCAACGCACGGTTGCGTGCTTTCAATCTTTTGGATGGGGAGGAATCACGGAAAACCTTTTTAATTTCTTGTCTGTCTCTAATCACATTCAAATAGACGACTGCTTGGTAACTGATAAGTGGTTTCTTTATAAGGTTGTAGAACAGTGGACTGAGGTCGGCAGACGAAGTGTTTCACTGAAGGGCACACCAATGTTGCAGTCAAGTGAATGGGAAGGTTCGATAGCTGCTTCCCTTAAGTTTGGTTGTGCTCAATCAGCTTCAAGTTAATTTGACCACTAACGCCGGCCGGTGCGTTGGCTATTCACCTTGGCTGCTTTTTGCCGAAAAAGACCACACTGAATTAGTTGGGCAAATTTCGCAATTACTTGATTCAGAAATCCTGCTCGCTGCATATGATTAATGAGGGAAGTTATCTGCTTTCAAAAGTTGGGGGACGCGTCTCGCAAAGTTAGAAGCTGTCACGTCATTAGGATGTATCACGCCTCCAATATTTATATTATAACCCCTGTCGAAGCCAGCAGCAATATACGTCTACATTGCTCAGGTTGACCGACCAAAAAAAATAAAAAAAATACTCATTTTATCCGTTCAGGATTCAAAGTCAAGTTCAATGCAGAGAGGTCTGAGTGAATCTTCGATGAAGACTCTCCTCAGTTTGTCCGCATTCGTCTCCGTTCTACTGGCTAGAACCATTTGGCTAAGTTTAACTAGTATCTCTCTGTCTGTCAAATATACTTTTACTCAGCCGTTCACCTAATAGTTAGTCAACTAGGTTCATATTTCAACCCGAAGAATATATTAATATCGCTTTAGTGGGACATAGTAAGTAATATAATACATAATCCACAAATTCGTCAAAATGACCGATTGCTACTAAACCCTGAATAGAAATACGAGTATCAGCTGCTTAGTGAAGCGCTAGCGGGTTAACATGCTCCTTGGCTCAAGAAGCGCTTGCTTAATTTTCGTAATTTTCCTGCAACCTGTGTTCTTGACCGAGCACATGACTGGAGCTGTTTCTTGAAACGCGGACACGCACAAAATCTCAAAATCGCGGACAGATAAGTCGCATGGTCGAGGCATGCGAGTTAGCTAAAAATTACTTTCGGTGGAACAATTTTGTAGCCCTCGCCGCTTTCCTTAGATGATCAAAACTAAATAGAGTCTATTACCGTTTCTCTGGAGTCCATAGTTTCGGTTTTGAACGAAGTCTCCGAAACGAAAGTTTGACATGAAAAGAACAAAAAACACCGGCAAAACAAAACTATGCTCGGCAAGTTTATGCGCACCGGCTACACTTAACCGTCTCAGTTCAAATACCCATAAAATTTGGCATTAAACAAAAGAAAATCTGTTAAACTGAATGCGCCACCCATTCAGGCGGCCCGGCCGAGCCGATGCGACCTGGACCCAGCCTCCATGTTTGTTTGGGGGTGGCGCCCCCTATAGGTCGCTGGAGTCGCGAATATTACAGACGGGCCACCTTAATATTTTTCAGCAGATTACGTTACATTAAAAACACCTAAGTTGTTAAAACTTACACGCAGTCCAGAGCTTCACGTTGCAGTGTTCCATGTAACAACGCTAAAAGAGTGACATAGCACGAGGAATAACTGAATTTAAGGC